ATTGTTTAATATATGTATTTATCGCAATGTGCGGTTCGGTTATATTATTATTTAATTTAATTAAAATTTGGCTCATTGAAATTGTGAATAAAGATTCGTAAGATACTGAAATATTCGAATATGAATAATTCAATAGCCAATACAATGTTATATCTCGAGATTCCCCGTTGGGCCCTCAAATTCGACTGAATTTACGGGGTTAACGCAGAAGCAAAATTTCAACTCGGGGTGTTCTCCTTCTTTTTCGCTGTTTAAATCCATAGTATTAAATGCCTCGCAATTAGCAACTAATCGAATTAAGATCTGCGAGTGAAGTTTATGCGAAACTAATTAAGAAGGAAGTCTTGTTTTCTCTTCGGGCTCTTAAGCGTAATTCTGCGGGAACTCTTCATGCTACTTAATGGCGAATTAAAACAAACATTTTCCACGGTCGAAAATTCCCCGCGCTCGCACGTACGAAGTAAGTGCACTCGAGTAAAATCGCGTACCGAGGCGAACTGTCGCGAAATATACTTTATCTAGAGATAAAGAGCTACAAGACGACACGAAGTAACTGATCACGTTGTTCATCCGTGACGAAACGAAGCGCGATGAAGACTCGCAAGAAACTTTCGGAACATTTCAATTGATGGACTTCCGAGGCGACAAGTCGATTTTCCGAGTTTCCTCTTTAGTAACAGATGGACCGAAACGGTAGAGAAATGGTAGGGAAAGAATGGAAGCAAAGTGGATCTCCCGAAGGCTTTCGCGGAAAATACACAAGTCAGGGAAACTCGTTGCAATTTCTTAGCCGATTGAGTACAGCGTTAACCGCTTAATTTCGGCCGATCGTCGATATCGAAAGCTCGCGACGCGAAGTGTTTGTGTTTTCGACCTCAGTCCGCTTTATCTCTCACTCGCGGTATCTTCGGTAAAAATAAATTGTGAATATCGAAATGTGTCATTTTGATAAGCGATAATGAGAAAATAATAATAAATATCGAGTGAAAAAATCAATATTACAGAATATTAACTTGTCGGTATATATATTTATATATCTTTTTAACGGTCTCTGCGCGACGCGTTAGAAATTTGTTATCGAAGCAGTCTCGCGAAGACTGTCATCTCATCTTGTCGTTAGCGCTTTTGCCGCGCGCAAATTACTAGCCAAACATTGAACGACTTCTAAGCGTGTATTAGTTATCGAAACAGAGCAAACAAAACGAACTCACGAGCGAGAGACTTAAGTGCCGGCTTTAACGCTTATCGACGGCGTGGATAAAGCCTCACGGTAAACATAATCAAAATAAGTCGCCAAACCTTTTATATTTGGTAACGTTCAATCTTGCTTTTAGCGAATCCGCGCGCGGGATGAGTAAACGAAGATATTTCTCGCTACGAGCGCGCGCACGAAGCTGAGTCAGTGTCGCGATTATTCTCGTATTTACGTTTGTATTTTGCTCGGATCGAGAGAACCTCAATGAGACAATAACGATTCCTTTTCGCGTCACTTAGTTTCAACGAGCGATAAATGATTGTACCATATTATAACAAATGATTTCCATCACGCGGTAGAAAGGCGACGGGATCTCAAGTTTCCTCCGTAAGAATGTACACAGGAAAAAAAGTTTCGCTAGAACAGCAAATTGTTAATGTAATGACAGCAAAAAGATTTGTCACGCGGAAAAGAATAATTTTTCCGTTGTAACAAAAAGTTGCTGCGATAGCGATAAAATTTAATTTACCAATAACCAAATATTAATACTTTATTTTTTCATTACTTTACCAAATATTAATATTAATATAACATATTAATAACCAAAAATTAATACTCTTAACAAATCTTTTTGCTGTCCAAACAAACTCTTTGCTGTCACTATATTAATAAACAACTTGCTGTTCTAGCAAGTTTGTTTTCTCCGTGTATCCATAATGTAAAAATATAAGATGAATCATTACATATAATGACAGAAAAGTAAAAAATCAATAAAATTTTTGCTTCGAAATTAGCACGAAATTCAAATACAGTATTGGTGAACACGTATGACAGAAATACAAACAAAATTAAAATTTGTAAAAATAATACGAAGATTCGTAAATTAATATAAAAATACGATATAAAATAACATAACGTCAAATAATTTCTCCTACATTGATTAATAAGGAGTAACGGATAACTCCTAAACACACATCACTGCTAGCAGCCATGTTGCTTATTACAATTTAGGTCAAATTTTGATTGGTCAAAGAGAGCAGCCACCATATTGGACGATTGCGCATCCTCAGCAATAATATATCTTATCTTTTTACACCATGAACGTACCGAATCTTCCTTCTTTTTCTTTCCCTTCTTAATTTTTCCACCCTCTTCTTCTTTACCCCGCCTTATTCATATCGGCAACGCGAGGAACAGAGGGAGAAAGTCATTCCGAAATTAACGAATCTTAACCCTCTCTGCGTGATCCGAATGACACGGAATGCAACAACGTTGACGTTGCAGGACAATTGTTGATGGCGCGCAGAGGTCGTCTCGCTAGCATCTGCGACCCCGCCGGCGAGATGATATGTAAGCCACCCTTAGACATACGCACGAGATTCCTTTGTGTGATGCAAAAACGTTTGACACGCTCATGGGCCGTTCGTGCATCCTGCAACGCGCTGTGCGACGCGAGTCCTCGTCGAGTCCTCGCCAGGTTCTCGCCGAGGGTTATTTCTCACGTGCTTCGCCGTTGTGCCACGGTCATACAGCACAAGATTCGACGACCTCGAGATCGTCCGCGAGATCAATCGCCGCGTATTCACTTGTGATCGTGTCAGTGATAAATAGAGAGAGAGAGAGAGAGAGTGAAGGAGAGAGGGAACTGATGTAATATTGTGCAGAGATTTTAAGACTAATCTGTCGTCTGCGCGCGTGACTCGTTCGACAAGGCGCCGAGTGATCGCGATAATCGCGTCACGTGCGTCGACGTGTACTTTATCGAGCACACAGACGCTGCATAGTTTGTGTATCACGACGGATATCGTCTCGATTTGTTGGTTATCATTATGTAAAGGCGATTGTATCACCGTCTCAGGCTCATGTCATGTACCTAAGTGCTTCGCTGTGAGCGTGCGTTGCAACGCACACGTTCACAAACTGCCGGACATGTCGAATACAAATTATGTATACCGAGGGATAACGCCCGGGTTTACGCAATGCGCCGGTCACGATGAATATTTACAGTCTTGCGGGATGTACGAGCGGCGCTGAAATTTATCGAAGCACCACGACACACTACGTAATTCCGGAGCAGGGTAACAACGCTGTTTTTGCGTTCAATGATGCAAACGCACGAGCGCGCGAACGCGATGAAGACGTTGCTTTACGCGATACCAGACGCGAGTGAACGCACGACCCGAGATTGAGTCACTTTGAAATTTCATTTCGTGTTATTATGCAGCGAGTAATGTAGAATGTTAGTTCGGTAATTTGAATAATTAACGTACACACTTGGGCGTGCTTTTTCCCTCTTCTTCTGTTTCAAACGCTGTACTTAATGACACTCATTGCAAAATCTCTCAAGAAGACTTATGGGGGAACTTCGCGTTATGCGAAGAATATGCAAGAGCAAATGTAAAGACTCTAAGATAGTAGTAGTAAATCTAAGATCACTTGGAATAATAAGTTAAAGCGTTTAAATAACCGAAAGCATCGAAATCGCACCCATTAGAAACGGTTTGAGTAAACCTTGGGTAAGTTCGGCTGAAACATTCAAAGTAATTTAGCTAATGCGCAACAGTCTTCCTCGGTCCGACAACAGTTATAAATAGAGGAACAGGTCGGCGGAGAAACACGCGTTTGGGGCTTTCCTCGTTATTTAAATATTAAAATAGTGTTTTACCCGACTCTGAGACCGACACGCATACATCCGAAACACAACATAACAGTTTATACGATCGTCTTCAGTTTGGAGGATCCTGTCTTTTTTACTCTGCTTTCTGTGTGTCTTCTTTCTCTTTCTGGAAGAACTTTTCTAACATGCATGCGTCATTTATCGTGGTCGCGCGCTCGCGCGTGTCTACACATTTACGTGCATATACGTGCGTATACAGTATACTTTACGCCATTCAGTCGATCGATCAACGTCAACCCTCCCTCATTCCGCCCCGAAATTAACGCAATCGCGCGGTAAGACGGCACCCATCGAAAGCGTCGATACTTTCCCTCTGTCGCGGAAATTATTATTGTCGGATATTTTTTTTTTAGTGTATTTGAGCCGTCAGCCCTCGTCAAATATTCCTCCTTCATCTCTCGTCATCTCCCTCCCCACCCTTTCTCTTTCTTTCTCTCCCTGAACATGGACCTCGCTGTGTACCATATTCCATCAGAAAGAATCTATATTTTCTCCTTTGTATATTATATTATACGCTACGCAGTGTTTTCTTTTTCCTTTTTGATTCTGAACACTACGTAAATATGCATTCGCTGGGAGATGCGCGGAGAATGAAATGCGAACGTTGGCATGTTTCAAAAATCGATAGTTTATACTTGCTTGCACACATCGCTCTGCACGTAATCGGAAACGAATCTTCCGTATCTTGATAATCTCGCTGTTAATCATCGATTGGCGCGTGAGCTCTCATAAACATTGTCGCTAATTAACTCTTCCACACACACACATATAGATACACATATGTATATCGGATAAACAATATTATGTACATAACGGAAAATCAAAGCCTCAATCTCGACACTCGTAATAACTTCCAAGATATATACTGTACGTATTTTTACATCCATCGGAGAATTCTTTAATCGCATCTAGATGGACGTTCTTTATCGCGAGCGATGTTTCACTTTCAACGGATATCTTCATCGATCTTTCGCCTATTTATTATCTCTTGTCGTACTTGACATACACTCTAATAAATGTGTCTGAATCTTGTATGAACATTGTACATATATGCATATATTTTTGTACTTCTGTCTGCGAATGCAATTTCGAGGAACACGGCGATTCACACTCTCTCTGATTGTTTAGTCACCCCGCCGGCGCAGAGGGTGCAGTTCATCCTCGGCGAGGACGTCGGTGACGATGCGCACGAGTCGCATCCGCTCTTCTCGGAGATGGAGGAACTCGTCAAGGATGGCGACGAGATGGAATGGAAGGAGACCGCGAGGTAAAGTTCGAATTGCGATGCCGACAATTCGATTCGTTGATTTAGTCCTTTGTGCCGCGGGAACGCCTTCCTTCCAATGCGCAACGATGTTACGCTTTGGAATCGTCGTGGTTTCTAGATGATGTTTCGTCATATGAGAGATAGCGTGGAATTCTCCTCATTTCGCACAGTAATGTGGCACACAATATATCGCTGCAGCGATATATACAGTGATGTATATACAATTTTAAAAGAATATAATTGCGCCGTTCGTCTCTCTCAGACTTTATATTTTGATATAAAAAATGTTTCTAACAGTGTGTTTTTTTTTAATATTCTAATAATACATTTTTTCATTTGAATGCGCTTTTTAATGTCGGAAAATATGAGATAAAAAAGATAAAAAGAGACAATATTTTTTTTTAACTCTTTTAAGCGAACATACAGAGCGAATCGGAATTAATATCTATTCACTTTGTTATCTCTGGAATATTTCCAAATAAATGATAATAAAAATGATAATTCGTGTATATTTTTAATTCAAAAAAGGACGGCAAAAAATAATCTCGCGTGGACTGTATATTTTACATACGCATATATACTATGCGCAGGTGGATCAAGTTTGAGGAGGATGTCGAGGAAGGTGGCAATAGATGGAGCAAACCTCACGTTGCGACATTATCGCTGCACTCGCTGTTCGAGTTGAGGAGCCTCATCTTAAACGGAACCGTTATGCTCGACATGGAGGCGGTCAGTTTGGAGCAAATAGCCGATCTTGTCCTCGACAACATGATCAACAAAGGAGTACTGCAGATCGAGTTGCGAGAGAAGGTAAGACCGCAGGGCAGGAAGTGAAATATCACACATACCACCAAAATAGGCAAATCTTCGTGACATTTCTCCGAATAGGTCGTGCGAATACATAATGTGCTTATAAACTTACTTTGACGTTCAATCTAGTGCACATAAAGCTCGCTGTTAAAGTTCACACGTTCCCGTTAAATGGGAGATAAGTTATCGGTTAACGAAAATAGCAGCATTTTTATCGAATAGCTGCCGTCACCCTGAAAAATCCGTTGGCGGTTTTTGTTGACAGTTAAAAAATTAAAAGTTCTTGAAATCCTATGTTAAGTTACTAATATCGCGTTGCTCTTATATATTTATCGAGATATCGTACGCATGCATGCGCGTATGTATACACATATATATGTCTTGATCGATCGATCTGACGGAGTATTATTAATATCGTCTCAGGTGAGAGAAGCCCTCCTCGTCAGACACCGGCACCAGCACGAAAGGCGCAAAGACAATAACATGTCGAGGTTACCGATTATAAGATCGTTAGCTGAGATAGGACGCAACCATTCCTCGTCAAAGAGTAAGTTTTCACGTTACTGCCTCTCGTCTCAGTGTCGGTAATCATTTTTTTGACAGGTCAACGATGACTACACGAATAATGTACATAGTTGTTCCAATATATATATCGAGCACACGGACACTCTCGAAATTGCGAGAAACAGAGACCGCTCCAGCATTAATTAGCACCGCATTTGGCTTACTTAATATCTTCCGCTGTCTCGAAGTGCGTGTGCGCGCTTTACTTTTTTCCCTTCTAAATTAATTTTGTTATTATATTTAGTTTCCCAGTCTTCCCCTTCTTGTAATTACGTTGCGTTTTTCTTTATTTTCTCGCGCTACCGTGCTGTTGATTTTTCATTATCTAAATTAGTCTAAGCTTAATTAGATATTTTTTACACACGACTTCTGATGATCCGACGTAATCGCGTTCTTAGACGAAATATAAAAATATAAAACTAGAAAATTGGAAGAAAAGAAAAAAGTGAATGTCGATATCAACACACGGTATTTCCAAACAGTTATCCATCTTGGTACTAACCCAACATTGTTTGACTTCAGTGATCGAATGAGTACTGGTATTCTCGACATGGTATGAACGTTGGAGAAATTTATGTACTTATACGAGCATTTGTGCTATGTAATTGAGAAACCCATTTAGTCGAATCGACTAAATTCTTGTTTGACTATGGGCAAACAAATTTTTTGTTTATGAGAACCAAGGATTTAGTTCTCTGAACCAAAGGTTTTGTTCTTTGAAACCTCTGAAACTTCAGAGAACCAAATCTTCGGTTTAGACAATTAAACTTTGGTTATCACAACCAAAAAATTTGTTTGCCCATAGTCAAACAAGAATTTAGTTAATTCAAGTAAATGGGTTTCTCAGCATATTAAGCCTCATCAATTAAGATCGACGCGAATTCATATGTGAATCGCGCGATTACGATCCGGATGTCTTTAATGCGTCGATATAAATTTCGATACGCCTTCATCTTCGATATCGGGTCATCGGATGTCCGCCTTCCCCATTTTAATTTAAGTTGATTTAAGTTGTTTCTTTTAATTTTTCTAATCCTGTTTTTTTGTTCACATTATTACCTGCATTTTCGTTAAAGACCACCCTGACGGCGGTGGCATGACGAAAGAGCCGGTTCCTCGGCCTAGGACGTGCTAACCTTGCTAAAAACACGTACGACACAATCGACATTTTCAGATTGCGACTGTACATGTGGTATGCATGCCTTGTTGACGTCAGATTTGCAGGAGCGTCGCGAACCCAGGGACACCTATATGCCCCCCGTCGCCCGCAGCAGCAGTTGCCCAAACTCGAACACGGCCCCGCTGTCGAAAGAGGCGAAAGACCTCAAAGGGCCATATCTTCTAGTTCCAGGTACCACTCAGGCCAGTCCGCTAAGCAGCCTTGGATTGCGGTGCTTTCGTGGCTTTTCTAACCACACCCCATCGGAACAACCCACTAACAACTACAACATGCGTGTATCGATCACCTCGCAAATTCCCATTCGCTTTGTGCTGCCGTCGGAAATTAATACGCAAACGAAATTTCCATGAACCCCGAGTGGATCAACAATTGCAACATAAATCTCGAAAAACGATGGAATGGGAACATACGCGATGTTCCCTTGTTTGATCGCGGTGAAAACGAAATTCGTAAAGGACGATGGATAAAATGGCTAGTTTTGGTTCCCGGAGTGACAAATAAAAACAACATGTTTCTTTGTAGTTTTTGAGCTGCTGAATTTGATTCTGACCTTTAAAATACTTATTTGTCGGGAAAGCATTAACCCGTTGCGGTCCGCGCTGTATTCGCAATTTCGTCCCAGCCGGTCCGCACAGATTTCGCCAATCGCTCATCCGCTTGGTACCGTTTACTTTGGAAAACATTTATGATGCTACACCGCAGCTCTTATCTTATCTCTTTTAGCGTACGATGAAGACTCTGTCAACGTCGACTCTGACGCGTCATAGGACGCGTTGGAACGAAACGCGGTGTCGAGTGTCGCTCGACATAGGACTTGCTGGAACGAAACATTGTGTCGAGTGACGCTCGACATAAGACCGTAACGGGTTAAAATCAGCATATTAAATATCTAGTACCGTAAATTATTATTGTTGAACTTTACGAACGTATTTATTCGTGTTTTCCTGCTGGTAAAACATGATAATGCCTTCATCTTTAATAATTCATTTTCTGATCAGCCTACATCCAGGCATTCTATACAATGGAATCTCTTTATAGTCGCATCTTCGAGACCGAAATGTGACCATGTTCTATTTTTTTTTTNATTTGTTCTTTTATGTATGATATATAAATTTGCATTCATTAAAAGTACTTTACTATTGGTAGTATTTTACTACTGGAAACTAAGATTTACATAAAAAATATTTTTAAGCACTAAGATCTGCCTTGATCGAATAAGACCTTCATTTATTAATTTATGTTGTTCACATATCAGTCGATTTTCACTTAATATTTATTTTATTATATTTTACACTTTCATTAATACTTCATAATAACTTCTTATATATTTAATAGCTTTGTATTGTTGATTTTAATATTTTCCCGACAAATTAAAATTTTTTAAAAGTCAGATTCAGTATAAATTAATATTTTTTAGATTCGGTAGTTCCAGAACTACAGAAAAACATGTAGTTTTTATTTGCTACTCCGGGAGCTAAAATCGGCCTATTTTATCTATTATCTTTTTTATTTTTTCAACACATATGATATCTCGATTTTAAAACGGCAACTTGCAAAAGCGTGATAGGTTTGAAGAATGAGCGATACACTGAACTGTAATTTAGTATTATGTGTGCTACAACGTGTGCCGGTCGAGCGAGGATCGAGGAGGTGATCTCGATCGTCGTTGGGTCCGTCGCGTTGAATTTATAAGCCATCATCATGGTCATTTGTGTTCACCGGAAACGATGTTTCTTGGTGACGGATCGCTGGTGGATTGTCCATATTAATTGACCAATGTAGAGTCCATCGCGAATCCTCGGCGAATCATCGAGGCTGCTCGTCGTTCCCGTCGAATCAAACCAACCTCGCGCGATTTCAGAGCCCAACCTGGTCGACAAATCTGTGACATCGTTTTCTCTTTTCTTTTGTCAGACGAATTCGGCATACCCCACGTGGTGGGATTCACGACGTGGTTCGCGATGTGTCCGCTAAAAGGTAGCTAGCCTCGCCAGGTGGTTTATTCTCGATTCTATGAATCTCTGCACACAAAAATTCTACTACTCACCATTTCTGCCGTCTATTCTAGAGTCTCTTCTCTGTTGTTATCTTTCGTATTCTCTATCATGTTAAACTCGCGATCGACGCGCCTCACTTAACGGCCTCGTCGATCTCGCCACTTACTATTTTAATTATCTCGATGGGACTGTAACTGTCTAATTGTAGAGATTGTTGCACAAGAACTTGGATTGTTCGTTTGTTCTGGCCATTCTGCGCGCGCGAAGCGAGAATCACGAGGATCACTGCAAGTCCAAGTGTGTAATTTTACACACTTTGCGGAGTTATTTTTTACATATTTCACTTACACGTGTTATTAGTGTAATATTTTATACAGATAAATGTGTAAAAATTACAATTTTATACACATAAATGTGTAAAAACTACGCGATAAATTCAAGTGTACAATTTTTACACACTTATGTATGTAAAATCATAATAATAACACGCGCATAAATCCGTAAAAAGTGACTACACGTGAAATTACGCATTTGGATTTGCAGTAATCATCACAATGATCTCGTTAGCGTGAACGTCGAAGACGATCGAGGATGTCGGTGTCTTCAATCGCGGAACGCTCGCGACATTTCCGCCTTGGATTTCCGCGGAATTGACTTTGCTCGCGACGACGAGAGAACGGTAAGGTGACTCTCTGTCAAACACTGTCGTCAACAAGAGAGAGAGAGAGCAAAACTCGACGACGCTGCAATGGAGAACTCGTCCGACTTATAACGGTCGCGACTACTGTACGGCGGTTTCGGCAAACGGAAATTCAAGTCGATCGCTAAAGCCAACCTGATCGATTCCTCGGTGCAGGTGTTGTCCTGATATTCCTGATAGTCATCGAGAAGTGGAATTGATTGTGGTCGCTAACCTCGGATACGTCCACGCTATGGGAAGTGGATTGTGGTTGCCGAGCATAATCCGCATCCTCGCAACACATTCGGCATTAAATATGACCGTCCAATTATGATTCTCCCATTGGATCGCAGATACGTTTATCCTCGGTACGGGCAGATGGAACTTCTGCGAATCGCGGACGGGCGCATTTAGCGTCGAACGCGCGGCGAGAGTGCAGAAGGGTCGATATTTCAGATGGTACTTTAATGTGTTTACGAATAATCGGTTTAATTCCTCCGCCGAACGTGACATTATTGAAATTCATCGTTCGCGGTATCATTGTCCATCGATCAACATGCACGCACTCCCCTGTTAACAACGTAGGCCAACGTTTACCATTTCGATCACGAGGCATGGATCTTTCGTAATGGTCGTACTACTATGTGCACGCAACTCGATGTAGATCTTGTCTAATATGTATATTTATTACTACTAACTGTGCATTTTTTGTGGTTCTCAGTGTTATAATCGACTAATATCTTTTCAGTATCCCAGCTAACGTAATTGTTCTCATTGTCCTCGTAAGAGAAGCGAAAGACGCATATATATATATATATATATATATATATTTATTTATTTATTTATATATGTGTATATATATATATATATATATATATATACACAATATATCTCGCAATTGTGAGGCTGACAGCTAATAATTTATTCTTCCCCTGTAACTATACTTCTCCTCCCGGAAACCTGTGCGAGAAACTACACAAAGATGATTTATTTCTCTCTCTTTTTTTAAATATTGTATTTTCCGGGAACCGATATTTACTTTTACGGTGTGACATCGCCAATACGCGCGTATCCGCGATCGTCACGAAGTCGCACGAATCTTTTCGATAGACGGCGGAATACCTCGTGGTAGCAGCCGCGTTTATACACTGAGAAATCCATTTAGTTGAATCAACTAAACTTGTTTGACTATGGGCAAACAAATTTTTTGGTTGTAATAACCAAAAAATTTGTTTGTCCATAGTCAAACAAGAATTTAGTTGTAATAGCCAAAAAATTTGTTTGTCCATAGTCAAACAAGAATTTAGTTGATTCAACTAAATGGGTTTCTCAGCGTACCTGTCCGCTAAGTGGCGAGAATGCGCAGTCTATTTGAGCTTTACGGCCGCCGCGAAATTTGCTGACATGTACATGGAAATGAAACGACGTTAGGGAAGCACTAACGCGTGGTGACGTTACCCAAGAAAATTTACGCGGCGTCGTAGCTATTTACCGTCGACCCTGACGTACCGCGCACGGTAGCACTTTCCGCGTAAAAATAGAAACGGCTGCACGTGCAATTCTTTCTCTTTCTCTCTCTCTTTCCTTATTCTTATCTCTTTCTCTATCTCTCTTTCTCTCGGCGGTAACATTCAGTGATTAGTACGTACGTGAAATATTCCGGAACGGAACTGTTCGCTCGCACGCGACGTTTCCTTGCCGGATTAGAATTCAAGATCAAGATTAAAACATTGCCGTGCACAATGAGACGGCTACTTTTAACAACAACAAGTGCCAAGCTAATCGTCCAGCTATTTTTTTCGCGCGGTAAAGATACATATACGAGGAAAAAATGTTATTGAATCAATAAAATTACCAAAATTGCGCGTAATTGGAACAAATATCCTTGATTTGATAGCAATATTATTGAGATTAATATATTATATATTATTTCTTAATAACTCAAATATTAGTTTCAACGTTGCTGTTGAATCGTGGAGATTCGTCCTAATTATGCGTTGCTGGAAATTCTACACTAAAAGATGAAAGTGCTACATTCAAGTAATATTTATTCGATCTAAGTAAAATTGTTACTTTAATATTCCTTGGCAAATATTTACTAGGAGCAGAAATACAATTGACTGTATACAATGTGATATTTTCTTAATATAAGTAGACATTTACTTGTACGTGTTAAAATAATTCCGACAAATGTTAAATTAATAATATTGAAGATATCGGGAATTTTAATTTTAGAAAATATGTACCGGACAGAAAAATCGAATATCACAATCTCTTCAATGGAAAAGAAGTATATATATTTATAAGTATTCTAATAAATATTCTCTTATATATTTATTTACCTCAGCTTACATGCCAAGGAGGGAAAAGACTCTTAAATTCAGAACAATTTATACTTGCATTCAGTAAATCATATGCAAATTAAGGTATTACTGCCTTCAAATAAGTATTTACTACAAACCATCGAAATATACTTAAATTGATAAAATTACTTGATATAAAATGCTGAGAAAAGAAATATTCATTTACTTGATTCTAGAATTTCTCTTTTCTGTGTGTCGATTCAACATACTATTGATTCAACTGCATTTTTTTGCCCATGTAATAGAAACACGCGACTTATTACGACGAATAATGTACGCACAAATATCGTCGTTTAACGCGAATGTCGCGACAAATATCCGTGTCCCGCGGTCGATTATCCGAGACTCTCCTCCGAGAACGAAGCGATGTCGAAGCATTTCGAGAGACTCGTCGCGACGGCGTGTTATCGCCTCCTTATTACCTCCCGCTCGCACATGTCCTTTGTAAATAAACGACGCTCCTGGTGTTGTGTTTCATGCTCATTTTTAGTGGAGGAATCGAATTCCGCTCCGGCGATCGCCGGCGCAACAAGTCAGGGCAGTGGAGCAGCGCTGAATGCTGGTAGCCGCTTCCTTGCGATACCCGGCAATCCCGGTAAACCGCTTTTCTGTGCTCGCTTCTACTCTACTCAGAAACACACCTTCACACTCACGAGCCTCGTTGAGTCCGTTAGCTAAAGCTCCGTACACGTACACACGTAGATATCGTACATACCTGCAGTAGCAAATTATTCGCGCCGTTGGCGTCGCGCCCACGAATGGAAATCTCACGACGTGGGAGAGCCCGCGAAGAACAGAATGCTTCTTTTTTTTCTTTTCGTGATGCAAGACGAGCTCAACGAACTCGGCGGTTCGCTCGTACACGACAAGTTACAAATTAACGGGGGTGTCCTGACACGCGCGGGGATAACGTGATGGCTGATTTGCAAAGAAGCGCCAAGCGTCATTACTCCTCCTGCCATTTGATCGAATTAGCTCGGTTGACAAAAAGTCACGAACGACCTACGCACATGTCCTTTATTTATTGCCCTCGCGGACTCACTCTTTTTATTTTTTATCTGGAGAAACATTCGATATGCATATGAATATATTGATATATATATGATTATGATTATGCATATGAATATATATATCTTCGAGTCGATCGTTCGCTTGCCAGAAACTGCTAGGAATCACAATCATCAAACCTCTCTCTATCTACGATAAAACAATCGGGGAAATTTACAGTGCGGGCTGTCCCTGCAAAAGATTGCCGGTGAGCGTCCTTGACATTTGACGTAAGCACCGTCCTGAGTACGGCGGCTTCCTATCGAGCACAGTAGTTCGTTTAATCCGCTTAATCGAATGTCTCAGTTTTCGCCGATTTCGTCGATCCGTAACTCAGATTTGATTCGATTGATTTCACGCGGTCTGGCTAATGTATAATTTAATTTTAATAAACATGCACCGGCCGCACTTTCGCAATTAATAACGTATCTCTCTTTCGATCACATGCGATTTGTAACTGATAGTTAAACGGTCTCGTTTTACGTAGACAATTTAATCACGCCGCTTAATGAGAATCGGCTGCAAAGCGAGAAGTAATTTCCTTCGTAAAACCGCGTATTCAATTTGTGAAATTCGGAGATAATTGCGAAATCAGTTCATCGCCTACCTCGATCGAGCGAGATCAAACGTAGTAACGTCAAATTATTCACGATTTTGCTGATGCAATGAAAAGGCACCATTGTGTTTCGCATTGTGATCGCTGCAATGCATCATCAAGAGCGATCTCTCTTTCATGAGCATTTGCAAATTTAAGGTAAAAATATCAATGCCTGGACACGTACATACCCATCCGTGGATATTCTTATTATTTTGGTCGTTAAATATGTTTAATCTTTAAAGATTTATTTATTTATTTAATTTACTTCACTAATGGGAATAAAACCCTTTTTGGTGAAATAAGTAAATCAAGGGATACAGAAAATTAAATAAAAGAAAAATCTGAAATAAATATAAGGAAAAAAGATTATCAGTTATAATAAAATTTTATATAAATTACATCTAAAAGCTCTTGAAAATTTGGAAAAAAGTTAATGGACCTAGAGTACTCGTTGGCTAATACTCTGCTCGTGCAATTGAACCTCACAAATAATGTCTTATGTTGTGTTCAATAAGAAATAAATTTAACGAATGAAATATCCTGGGTGATATATATAGTCTACGAAGCTCAGTAGCTTAGGACATGTGATTATATAGAAGTTTAAATAAAAAGCATAAATCAAAATATACCCTTCTCTTCTCCACGATGTAACAATACAGTCTTCATAAAACATTTGTATATATTCACACAATATATGTATATATATTCTATGTTAAAAGTTTGAATATTAATTTTTAAAAACCAAAATAACAAGAAGAAACGTTTAAAACCAAAACAACAAGAATATATCCAAAGTTAGCTATCCAGGCATTAGTACTTTCACTTTATGATATTCTATTGTAGAGTTTCGCGAGTTTCATTTTGCAATGCCTCGCGAACGAATCTTTACAATAGGACGTCGTTCGTTCAATGAATTTTCATTCGCAAATTGATATTGTCCAAGATGAACAGAGTAGAATGGTTGTTTTAATTTTACAACGCCGGCATTGTTCCTTTTCAACGCGAAGCGCGGGAAATTCATCTGCCGTCTGTCGCTCATTTAGCGTGGAAGAAACGCTCGCTCGTTCCTACCTCGCGGACGTTAATAAGAAGTTTATCTTGAGTTCATAGACGATATCTATTGTCGCAAGCACGCATCAGCAACTTCCGGCTGGAAACCACTTCCGTATTCTACGATTCTCCCTCAGAAACCTGGCCCCTCATTCTCGAAAATATGTGAAAAATTTAAATATAAGCAAGAATATTATAATATTTTTAGAAGATTCTTAGTCTTGATTTGAGTGCGAGTACTTGCATCAATACAAATTCAGTCAAATTAAGACCAAAAATCTTCTAAGAAGATTATAATATTCTTGCTTATATACGAGAACCTCTACTCTTGATTTAAGCTTAATTTTTTTTTTTCTACATAGGACCCATTTCACGCTGCAAACGCTTTGAAGCGCCGTACAGACCAATCATGTTCCTTCCTTAAGCGTCCTCCAAAGCGTTTATAGCGTGAAACGAACCCCAACCATCGCGATATTTTTCACATATTTTCAAGAATAAGGGCCCCGGTTTCCCGCGGAAAGAAGAAACCGTACGAAGAAACGAGACCGTGCGCGAAAACTCGCGAATCTCCGCGAGAAGGTATAATGATTTCACGAATTAAAGACGCATTCGACCTCACGAGAGAGGGTCGCGCCTGCCTTAAAGTAGAACCGGCTGTAGCTGCAGCTAGTTAATTTCGCGAAAGTGCGAATTCGTGTGAACACCTTCGGAAACGCACCCGCGCGCGGGCGAGTGCAATTCGAGTCGTGCGAAATTGCATTCTGGCTGCCTGGCTAAGAGGGGGCACACGCGTCTCATCTTGAGGATTAATGACGCACGGGCGGATGAAGCCGAGTCGAAATTTCGGTTCCACATTATATGTAATCCCGCAGATTCACCGAACTCTTGGAAGATCAACGGGGAATTTTGGGAGCATAACGTAGTACAGGCTATTGTGCCTATCCTGATGCCACAAACGCTTGCTCGATTACTCAACTTGCGGTAAAATTGGAAATCTCCTGCGTAATACATGGTTTGACATACCTGGGGACGCATGATGTATCGTTGGCCACGTCCCGGCGTTCTGCGTCCTCCGTCTGGCTTCCCGATCGAGCGTCTCGGTCGCCGGTTGCTCCGTCGAGGCATTCCGAATATTCACTTGCGGCACTAACACTCATGTTGACACTCACATTGACACCACAAGGACACCAACACTGATACTGACTCGCGTCGGATACGATTCGGCCGGAGGTTAGGTTAGGTTACGTTAACGCGCGTTGACTACGCAATGCCAGCGAGAACCCGATGAAATATTTCACGAACCAGCGAATTATTGTAATTATCTGATGAGAATCGTAACTAAGACGATACACGTACGTCGCGTCGTGTTTATCGCTCGCTCCGCTCGACGTTTTTTTGTCGGAATATAGCGGTTGCTGGCGTATGACGCGCGTAACTTTGTCTTTCTCGCCGACTGTATCGTTCGTTCGAGCGTCGCGTACTTTTCCATAAACGAGTGTTATCTTGAAACCTTACGTCTCGATTCAGTGAACGATGCGAAATATGCGTGTATGTCATTGTTAAGTGTAACTTTAACGGTACTCCCGGCGGACGATTCAAATATTTCTTACGCTAAAGCACGTCGCGACCCCATCGAGCATGGCGAATTGTGAAACTACGATCTGTACCTTCGAGCTGCACTTTTTGTACTCTCTTGTAATCTTTGTCTTTCTTTCCTTTTTACTCTTAAAACTGTGAATGTACTATTTAATTAATGAGTACGGAACACATGTCTGTTTGATTCTATGTACGTAATACATGTATATTTCATTTTGAGGATGCAGCTAGAAAGAGCAAATCTCTAATGTAACGACCGCTTTGTTACTACGGTATGTTCGCCGGAAGTTCGTCGTCGCGACCGCGCAATATAATCAGTCTCTCGTCTACATCACGTTAATTAACATGCATTTCTCCGTTCGAATTATATCTACGCGAATATCAGTATTAGTGTCAGGTACCATAAAGGAGTAACCAGAATGCCGCAATCGAGCAGCTAAGAATCAAAATGCCAAATTTCCAAATTGAAAAGTTAGGACGAAAACTGCATAGGACGACGCGGCCAGTGATACATATATTTCTAGGTGAGAGAAATCATTTATATTACACAGAAGATTTCCCGATTTTAACGAACATTGAGATAATCAAATATTAGATAAATCTAAAATAACCAGATAACGTATGTAATACAATTATGAAATGTTACATATGTTTAAAGAACGTATATGAAACTAACATGTGTTACCTGGCAAGCCTCTCTTTAAATCTCAATTTGAAGAAAGATAAACAAACCCAGCAAACACAAATATATAACAGTTTCATTATTATATAATGAAATGAATATTATGAAATGTAACACGTAATATAACATAGAAGTGGCAACATAAATGTTAGTTATTTGTAATTTAGTTATTTATAATTATATTTTAGTTAGTTATAATTTCCGACTCGAAAGTGCAATTATATAACATAAACGTAATATGTTACTAAAATACATTACATGTGACCGTTATATTATTAAAAAGTTATATAACGGTTATATAAATTGCTGAAATGTTACATATATAACTGAAATATAAATTATCTATTTCCCCGCAATTATAGATGTATATTTGTTTGCGATGGTTACAAACTGTCTCTATCAACTTATTTATAAAAAATATGCTTCCAAAAATGTAATAATTATTTTATATTAAAAGTGATATTTAGTTAACTTATGTAATGTAAACATATCTTGCCATTCTAAATTTATCTCCTAGCTATTATAATTTATTCACTTCCATAAATAATATTTCCGCAGGAGAGATCATTACAAACGACAGTAATTACTGTTATTAATCCAATATAATTCATTAAAAAATTAGTTATAATTAAAATAGTCATAGTTAATCAGAAAATGTGCTATTTTATTATAAGAGTAAATATTATAATGTACAATTTTCGCCATATCGTGATCACCGTTCTTATATAAATTAACACATCATATTTTACATATTAGAAACGGATACCATCTGACAAACAATCTGACATCTGCATACAGCAAATATTATATAACATAGAAGTAATGCGAAAACTTTACTTGTTATAACGCATTATATTTGAGTTATATTGCTGTTACTCTGTCATAACACGCAATTTACAAAGTAATATAACAGTTTTAAAAGTTGCATTGTGCATACAAATTCGATTATGTTACCTCAACATAAAAAAATGTAACCGTTATATTACGTGTTACTTCTACATTACATAGCAGTTATATCTTGTGTTTACTGGGAACATTTATACACAATATCAAAAAAGATGGGACAAGAGTCTGTATAATGTTAAATTTCGAAACCCTCGATCCTTCCACGTTCGATAGAATTTATAGAATAAACGTAGAACGAAAATTTTGACTCGACAAGCCACTTTTCTATCGCGCAACTGACAGGGGGTTGTAATTCACACCGCGCTTGAAAAATGCAGTAGGCAATAAGCCAGGTCTCTTTCAGGCCAAGAGCCAGGCAGCAACGGCATGGACCGGAGTCCCAGCAGCGTGTCCATCAGCAGGAATCACAGCTCCTCCGCTTTGGAAAACGGGGACGCTAATCACAGGGTGCGTAGGAGCATTATTCGCTAAATTAGATCCCGTGTGATCTCGCCGTCGGTTTGATAATACGATGAGAACCAGTGGTGTTTGATTTCGCTCTAAATTACCGCGACACCGCGACAAATCGCGGCATCGTAATTAAACGTCACTAAACTGTATCTATCGACGTCGCTATGTAACTATTAATTTAGCAGAAAGGATCATTCCAAGGCAGAACGATAAATTTCACTAATTCGCACGTGTACGTAGAATGCGGATCCGTCGATTACAATTGTCGAGTGATAATTCGATAGTGTATGTTCGAGAAATAAAACTGGCTCCAAACAAACACAATAAAGATCGGACTTGGCCTATTTGAGTCAATTTGTGAGAGCTTACTTTATTTTATTTTATCTCGTTAATACAGCTGAAACAGTTACGTCAGCTATTGGTTCACGTAAACCAGATCCAATTTTTATCCTATAGTGTTCCTCACACATTGAGAAACTTAGCGAGAATCGCAATAATCGATCACCTACTTTCTCCATATTTTCAGCAATAGTAACACTTAATATCGTACTTAATATCGCACGGATAATAATGAGAAATATAACAGCAGTGAGCAAGTTTGCCGATAAGGAAGTTCGGTCGGAATTGTCCCCCTTTAATATCGAGATCATGCCTTCCGTTAAGTACCAGCTTAACTTGGGAAACTTCAGCTCCGCTTTCTCATTAGGGCAATACACACTTTATGAGGAAGATACCGGCCGGTGCCGAGGCGAGCAACATACTCGTGGGTGAGGTCGACTTCCTCGACAAGACTCTGTCCGCCTTCATCCGATTGAGCCAGGCCGGGATAATGGGCGATCTGACGGAGGTGCCCGTGCCGACGAGATTTATCTTCGTTCTGCTGGGACCCATGGTAAGAAATTGCTCGTTACGATTACACGCCGTCGTAGAAACGAAGGCAAACGCAAAAACGCCGGCTGAAATTGCGGCCCACTTGAGCGCGCGTCTCATTTCCAGACCCGGACATACAAAAATTCGCCTCATGTACACCACTCCCACGCTTTAATTAACATATCGCATATGTGACAGAGATGAAAAACGTTTTTGAGTTCACGCTTTATGAATCCAAGCGAGATCTACGACGGAGTTGTACTCGGTTACTCGGCGGCGACATAATTTCCGTGTCAGAACGTAATGCACGCGTAAATGTAGCGCAATTTTTTCGTTCTATCCGAAAGACAGAAAGGAGTTGCGACACGTGTCTGTTCGATGTTTTTTGGAATAGACGAAAATCGTGAAGAAATCTCTTCCGCAACTCACCAAGTTGAAGTGCACTCCAATTTTTCGCCATTGATCATATACGTGTAAATTAATAAAGAATCAAAAAGATAATAATTAATATTTAATTTTTATATAGTTTGGTCCCGATTTTTAGTTTTTTTACACGTCTCCTTTATAAAGGCGTTAACCGTTGTCTCCGACAGTTTCTCCCGAGTAGAAATATATCTAGCTGACTTGAATCAAAAGTTAGTAGTTAGCTAGAATGGGTTAGATTAAATTTTCTAGTTCATTTCTGGCTAATTATTTATTAAAATGTAGAATAGGTTTTGTGATTTAGTTATTGTCTTGTCATTGCGTATCAAATATGATAGAGTAGATGATGCTGTCTAGTCTAAAATATATAATCTAGCTGCTATATATCCACCACTAATATTTAAAAATGAGGCAGATAGAAATTGAAGGTATAATAAGTCACGAAAAGATTGCAATATTTTTTAAATAAGTTTCAGAACGTATTCCGTGTCCAATAGGAAAGTTTGTCTTTTAATAATCTTCAGAAGATACATTTTCCTATTGGATACGAGATGTGTTGTGAAACTCATCGAAAAAAAAATCGCAACCTTTTGTGACTGACCATGTACGTTATTCCGTAAAAATTCTCAAAAAGTAGAAAAGTAAGCGTTATATTACTGCACGGAATATTACTGCACGGGAAAAAGAACTCGGTTCTTGTAACAGAATAGGGATCGGATGAAAACTCGATGACAAAAAATGAGTACTCGACGGCAAAAAGTGATATCTCTATTACGCGACTGAAAACATTCGTGAGAATATTCAGCCGCGTTAAAATTCGGTCGAGAACAATTGACTGATTGGAAACTCCTCCTACAGGAATCTTTCTGTTCCTACAATCAAATTCTTGTCTGGTACCTAGGCGAAAAATTCAGTTGCACCGCAGAAAATATTTCTGACAACTAATTATGATTTCTCATCTCTTAACTGCAATTTCTTTTGTTTAACCATCAACTTATTTATCAAGTTATTATCTAGTTATTATCTAGTTATTATCTAGACATTAGGAGAAGTGAGCGTTACATTGTTGGCTGGTAGCAACGTTAGGACACGAATTTACCACCCTTTGGCTGAACACTCGCGAAGTTCAATTTCCACTATGGCTATTGACGGAGAACTAATCATGCACGACGTAACTGATTAGTTTACGTTAATCAACTCGTTCACGGCGGGACGCTATGCATGAATCGCCCCAATCCCACGGATATCGCTGTACTCCTGAAACGTTCAAACACGCTCGCGGGCCTGCAAGGATCTGGTGTAAATTAAACGACGCTGAAACATCAGCTCGCGTTACCATCATAGCGCGTCGGCGATTTGCATGTAGATCGCTCTCAGCTACGACGATCCCGTCGTGTAAAATCGCCACGCATCCATACAAGTTGCTACGGTGTTCGTTAAGGAATTCCTTCAAGCCCCCCGAATCGACAATTATCTCAGCGAATCGATACTCACCTACCCGGCTATCACAGTTGTGTATCAACGAGTCATCAAAAGCAATTAACTTTCACGCTCGACCTTGAGTGGATGAAGTTTGAAAAACGATATAACTTATCTGAAGCGTCTCTCTAGCACTTTGCACAAGGTCCTCCTCGACATTCATGCGTCTGTACGTGTGTATACGCGTGCACGTGTTTGACACGGACGACGATTTAAAGCTTGCTGAAAAGGCCGACTCCATCCACAGCAGCGGGGCAATTAAAGCCTCCACCGACAAGCGTGCATGCTGATTGCTCTCGTTGACCATTGTCTCGTGAGACATATGCGCAAAGTAATTTCTTCCCGGCACGAACACGCGCGACTTGGAGGCGATCGCGAACTTATTACGAACCGACATGCGACGGCGAACCTGATGGTTCTTCGTGGAGAACGGACGTGCGTGAGTGAGGAAAGCTTACGCTAACATTGAAAGGAAAAAAATTCAACACGAGCGTCGCTCTTTAAAAATAACGCTCAAGCGAGGATGAAACGCGCGGACTTCCGTTGCTATCAAAATTCTCGAGGGAACTGCGATGATTACGCTTTGAGAAGAAACGTTGATTCTCAAAACAAAACGCGTCTGCGTTAAAACAATACCGCTCTTCTGGAAATAATCACAGTTATGCGAATTATTAATAACTCTTTGACACGTATCTGAAACTCGAGGAGGCCATCCTACGCGTTGAAGTCGACGTCGCTCAAGATCGAACTCCCTTTCTCCCCCCTTCTCTCTCTCTTTCCGATGACGTCTCTCTTCTTGGATAAAAATGAATTGATCACGTCATTACTTTCTACGTAGTAAGTGATTCTTCTGCGATAAAAATTCTTGATCGATAAACAAGAATAATGGTCTATTTACGCGCGCTGCACGTGGCTAATAACTGTCGCCCCTTTTGCAGGCTCTCGCGCTTTCTCCTTGCCTCACCTCTCACCTACCCTTTAGTATTAAATAATCTTGCCCTATGTTTTTTAAGTTATGCAATAAGTACAGTAATTAACTTTAAAAATTAAGAAGAAATAATGGCAAATGAGAAATACACGTATTATTGATATAACTCAATTAATTTCGAGCGATGTGGGGAAAATATAATATTCACTTATAATGAATTGTCTTCAGGGTGGAAGCTCAGGTTTCGGCAGAGAAATTGGTCGTGCCATGGCGACTCTGATGTCCGACGAAGTCTTCCATGACGTGGCTTACAAGGCGAAGAACCGAAATCACCTCTTGGCCGGTATCGACGAGTTTCTAGATGCTGTAACGGTATTGCCACCCGGAGAATGGGACCCGACAATCAGGATAGAACCTCCAGCCGCTATACCGTCGCAGGTGAGCTTAGCATCCGATAATTACAATTTGTATAATCCGATAAACTTGAATCTCGATGTAATTACATATAGGATATATATCTCGATAATAACGTGCGATAATCATTTCCGAATTTAATCTATAATAACTTTGAAAGAAAAACTTTTGCTAGTTTAATAAGATACCAGTACCACCATAACAAATGATTTGCAAATATGGGATAACAAATGATCCCGTAATGGGAGCTAATAATTTATATATTTAATTTGCTGCTCTAATAAAGTTTTGTATTGGCTTGATAATAATTTGTTAAAGTAACAAATGATGATAAGTGATTAGCAACTTTTGATAACAAATGATGATAAATGATTAGTAACCTTTCGATCTATTAATCTGACAGTTCGTGGAACAATAAATCATAAAAGAACTCTTCGATCTGTTTCCTTAACAGATCTTCAAATAACAAAAGAGCTTTTATTCTGGTAACTAAAGGATTTTCCTCAGTGAACGAAAATGCAACAAGTACAATAATGTATATCTTTCCCGATGATTTCAACATCGGAAATTAAACTCGTCAATAGCGTTTTAATTCTTTTCCGCAAAATAACACTTGAAATTGTCAACTTCGGCTTGTAAATCGCGCCTTCGTAGGAATTGTTTGACTGTCCTCGCCACGGAGAAAAATAATTTGCTGGCACAGCAAATTTTATACTATCGCAACAAAATCTGTCAGTTACTATTTGGATAGTAAAACGATTTTTTTTAAGAATGATAATTATCACTCGCTTATTATTTTCCTGAATCTACAAATTATTTTGCTTTAGGAAATTAATAAATATAGGAAAACATAATTTTGTCCAAATAGTAAATTAGCGTGTCCTAGAGACAAACTCATTTAACAGAATATTTCTTATCCTGGCAACTAACCGTTTTTACTTTAATTACGAATAATTCGCTCATTTGGTTATGCCAATTCATTTGTATTGCTGTCGCAACGAACATGCAGCAACAACGATACTTTCGCTACAACAGCAAAATTATTATTCCGTGCGTAATTGCGGAATGCGTAAAACGGCGTTTTCAGGAAGTGAGGAAGAGGCCGAAAGAGGAGAAGCCTAAGGAAGAACTCGATGAGGAGGCTGACGAGCAAAAGCAAAGAGAGGAGTCCGGCCTCGCGAGATCCGGAAGACTCTTCGGCGGACTGATCAACGACGTGAAGAGGAAAGCTCCGTTTTACTGGTCCGATTTCAAGGATGCTTTGGCACTTCAGTGCGTGGCGTCCTTCATCTTCTTGTATTTTGCCTGCCTGTCGCCCATCATCACCTTCGGCGGCCTCCTCAGCGAGGCTACCGGCAAGAACATGGCTGCTATGGAATCGCTAGTCTCCGGCTTCGTCTGCGGCATAGGATACGGTTTCTTCTCCGGCCAACCGCTGACTATACTCGGCTCCACCGGCCCGGTTTTGGTTTTCGAGACGATCGTCTATGAATTCTGCAAGTGAGTCCCGACGAAGTCTGATGTATCGACTGACATCTTCTAGCGATATTTGCACTGAGAAATTCATTTAGTTGGTTCAAACAAATTCTTGTTTGGATATGGGCAAATAAATGTTGTGAGAATCACAATTTGTTTATCTGAAGCAAAAGTTTGGTTCTCTAAACCTTTTTTATTTCTGTTTCAGAAAATCAGATTTGGTATGCTTATATGTAAGCAAAAATTTTGTTTGAATTAACTAAATGGGTTTCTCAGTGTGGTCTCACTCGATTAGTACTATCTGTTTGATTTAAGCGAAGGCAGATTAGACGATACGTGTCAGTGATAAATTCTCGCATCGATCAAAAGTTGCTTCCTTCGTAGATTATTCCGAGATGATCCGATCAGATCCTTAATCTCTTTGTAGGCAGGTCGATTGGAATTACATGTCTTTCCGCTTCTGGATCGGCACGTGGACCGCCGTCATCCTGATGATTCTCGTGGCGATAGACGCGAGTGCTTTGGTCTGTTACATCACTCGTTTCACCGAGGAGAACTTTGCCACCCTTATCGCCTTCATTTTCATCTACAAAGTAAGGGACCATTTAACAATTACATTACACCGTCAAAGAAGGGAAGTCTATTAGTTTACGTGACGGTCTGTGATGGCAGGTAGGGCGAGAGTAAAGGCCATGGAACGTCACGTTAAATGGCATAACTTGTAATTATGGATGCAAATGGTTATTCACTTTGCATTCCTAACACATTTGGTTAAAATCTTTAAGTTTTGATATGATTTTATGTTAATAATCAAAATGCTATTTTTTAAATACCTCTTTTTTTAAAAACACAGTTTTTACTCATGAAAATTGTAAAGCAAAGTAAAAATAAAATAATTAATTTGATATTATATTGATATTGATTTATATCTATATTGATATTAATATAGATGTTCTTCATTCAAAGAAATCTTATTTCACCTGAAATACTATTAGTTAAAAAGATGTTTCAAACATAAATCGTGTTTATTGTATATTTAATATTATTACCTAAAAACTATTTGATATATTATATTTTTATATAAATCGTTATATATATATATATATTTTAGGCTATCGAGAATGTGTTGTCGATCGGCAAGAAATTCCCCCTGAATACCCACCCTAGTGAAACGTTGGGCTACGATTGCTGGTGTAAACCATCGGACACTATTCTGCCATCCAGTTACAACAACGTGAACTGGACGATGTTGAATCAGACGGCATGCGAGGTATTGAAATAACACGCGAAGAAGCCAAGTGCGGCAATCTGCTTATTGCTAGCGAACACAGTAAACAGTCCCATCATATTATATCAAATCCGGACCTTGAACGTACTTTAATCAATCGTCTCCGGTAACAAGATTGTCAAAGCGACTTTTATTCCTAGCGTGTTATATACCCACAACTTTTTACCTTCGTAGACATCGTAATCACATAAATTGCAGTTGCAGCTCTCTCTCTCTCTCTCTCTCTCTCTCTCCCTCAATCGCGATTATAGAAATTGCAATTGTGACTTGCGTGTAGCCGTTCATTCGACACGTTTGCAATCGCGTGCGGCAAAAAGCTCGCGAATATCAGGCATACAAACATCTCGTTACGCTCGCGTTCACGACGATCAAACGCGCAACCCTTCTTAGCCGCGGTTTTTTTTCCTCGAGAAATTACAAGTCCCCGTGCTGGCGAGATTACTCGTTTCCCAGTCTATCCGAATCGGTAGCGCAGCGTGACATCGATCCTATTCACTCCACGACTCCTCCTTTGACATCGCGCTCGTTATTGCCTCTTTCAGAACTACAATGGCACGATGGTGGGCGATGGATGCAGCGGGCCGCATTACGTACCCGATGTGTTCCTCATGTCAATTATTCTATTCATGGGTACGTTCTTGCTGTCAGTGGAGCTCAAGGATTTCAAGAATGCTTTATTCTTTCCCTCAAAGGTAAGCGAGATGTACCGTATATACGCGTTGATCGGAGAACATGAAGCTACTGACACGGCAAAAGATCAGCTTTATTTCTCCGAGTGAGGAATTACTGCTAAATTTCGGTTTTTTTCATATTCTCGTAACGATATCGTGTTAATATTTATTTTGTAGGTGAGGCAGGTGGTGAGCGACTTCGCGGTAATAATCGCGATATTCTCCATGAGCACGCTGGATCACTTCGTGGGCATCTCGACGCCGAAGTTGGAGGTGCCGACGGAATTCAAGCCGACGCTGGAGGGACGAGGATGGGTGATTTGGCCTTTTCAGCAAAATCCGTGGTGGAGTGCTGTCGTGGCGTGCCTCCCCGCTTTATTGGGCACTATATTGATCTTTATGGATCAGCAAATCACGGCCGTTATAGTCAATAGGAAAGAGAACAAGTTAAAAGTGAGCAATTACGTTTTTTCGTCGAAACTCGATAAACTTCATTTCATTTCGCTAACGAAATACCGTTCGAACGTGAAGAAGACGCGTCTCTTCTCACACGTTTGAATGACAATTAACGACAGTCTAATAACGCGTGTGATCGTACGAAATTGCACAGATTTTTAAACATTGACTCGACTGACAGTGACGAACATCGTGGATGCCTGTTAATTAAAGAAGAAAAATTTCGCATCGCTGCTTCGATCTTATTCCTCTGTCGACGTCTTCCAGAAAGGATGCGGGTACCATTTGGACCTCTTCGTCCTGTCGATCCTGATCGAGATATGCTCGGTGATGGGACTCCCGTGGTTCGTCGCAGCGACGGTGCTCTCCATCAACCACGTGAACTCGCTGAAATTGGAATCCGAATGCGCCGCACCGGGCGAGAAGCCGCAGTTCTTGGGCGTCCGTGAACAGAGAGCCACTCACATACTGATTTTCCTGATGATCGGTTGTTCGGTGCTGCTAACCCCGATGCTGCGGAACATACCGATGCCGGTGCTGTTTGGTGTCTTCCTGTACATGGGCGTCGCATCGTTGAAGGGTCTCCAGTTCTTCGACAGGATTCTGATCATGCTGATGCCCGTGAAGTACCAGCCGGATTATATGTTCCTGCGTCAGGTGAGCAAACGAACGACTTGATATCTCAACTATCTCCGTAAGAGAGAAATAGCTTTAAATATACAAATTATTATTATTATTATTATTATTATCGATTTATTACTTGTTTTATTAATTTTTTATTTTTTATATTAATTATTTATTATATTTATTGGTTATATTATATTTTTATTACTTGTTAAATTTTATATTTATTTGGCAACTTATCTGTTGACTCATTTTAAATACTTTACCCCTTTAACGAACTATTTTAGAAATTATGAAAAATTTAATATAGTCAGCTATTAGTTCCAAAATGCTTTGTTTGCAATATTTTGAAACGAACACGTACCTTTTCAGGTGCCATTAAAGCGCGTGCACATGTTCACCGTGATTCAGCTTGCCTGCCTCGCTTGTCTCTGGATCATAAAGTCCTTCAGCACCACCTCTATCTTGTTCCCCTTAATGGTAAGTAAACGTTTTAAGGATCCCTCCACGGTTCATGTAAAATAGCTGGACGTTGCAACAGAGCCAACATTTGGGCGATCTGTTGTCAGTCGTTAGCTGAGAATACGTCGTCCAATTTGGTGGGTCGTTATCTGCAAATAATCGATTACTCGGTGCAGCTCATAAAGTTTAAGAGCGATTTTATTACGGCGATATTAACAACGCAATCTATCCGAGTGAAGTAAATGCCACAATAAATCTGTGTATACTCATACAGTCGAGGTACATCGCGAGAATATGAAACGGCTTGTGAAAAACGTTAAAATTTAGCAATTATTTATAGAAAATTGCTAAAATGAAAATCGAAATCGCGCTCTTACATGCAAATTTATCTTCAGTTTCGGGATGAAGTCGATTGATTTCTTCAATATTGATTTCTTCAATATATCACTAAATTAATCTATAATGCAAAGGAACGATCGTCCTCTCATCGGAAGCGAGACAGTCCCACTTTTCGAATGCAATTTGTTCCACGTCGTTACGTCTTTCCTGAGGAAAGATATCGACGGGCGGCAAATCGCGCTGAAAAGGACCAGTGCCCGCCGACAATGTTGCGCGGCGTCGTTCTCAAAGAAGCGAAAGGTGTCAAGTGTGCGGCGCGAGCGTCCTACAATGTGTTGCGCTCGTGCCGCCTGTCGCCGACAAAGGACCGCATGCCGCTTTGGAAATTTCAAACTCTTCAAACATCTATATCTCGACGAAAAATTGACGTAGGAACGTGAAACAAACGCCATTCATCTCGGTATCGCGCATAGAACGCCTTTATTCTCGCAACGTATATTGTTATCACGAAGCGTATTGGCGTGTGTGATTTCGACACGTGCATATGATTTAACTGCGATATAAATATATTTCGCTATACGCGTGATTTAAATATATTGATATTATATTTAAATTTAAATATAAAAATAGAGCGTTGAGAATTTTTACCGTATAAAATACGAAGTTTCGTGGGCCATTCATTTGAGAAATTTTATGCGGAGATTTCCGTGTAATTTATCATTTTTTAAATTTATTTTCAAGTTACTTTTTTTACAAATAAGGCTAGTATAATTTTGAGTTCTGAATTAATATTACGTAATTAACGTCGAGCACTATATAAAAAATTCTCTCTTGGCTGATGTGTAATTTTTTTTCCGGTGTTGAGGTCGAGAGTTATCATTCGACTGTAATTCAATGCTGGAACCAATACTAGCATCGAACCAATATCGAAAATTCAATAACTACTAACACTCCGCCGCAGTGTCGATTTTAAAATCTTATATAGGAAGGTACTTTTGCGATTTTGTGATATTTAGTTGCAGTCACTATTTTCCGCGCATTTTTTTCGAAATTTATAGAAACGATATACCATACTATAAATTCCATCAATTCCTTTTTCTTTAATTTTTTATCTTATTCACAATAATGAATTATTTCACAAGCTCAGTTAGATCGTTCTTTTTATTGCTAGATATTGCTGTTTTTTTTTTTTAACAAAACTATAAATCAATACGTTCCTGGATAAAATTATCTCACTCGCGGGATTATTTTTAAATGCGACATCTCGTTATTTTAGCTGTTTTAACGAATGGGAAAGCAAAAGCTAAGTAAGCTCAGTTAAGAAGCGACATATTTTGCAAGAATTACTATTTCCGTGCTTTACAGCTCGTAGTGATGATCGGCATACGCAAGTCTTTGGACCTGGTGTTCACGCAACGCGAGCTGAAGATCCTCGACGACGTAATGCCGGAGCCGAGCAAGAAGCACGCCGACGATCTTCGTAAGCTGGAGAACGGCGAGGTTAGCACCGTGACACGAATAATAAACGGCATCATCTGTTGCAAATAGCATACAGAGGGTGATCGCGTGGCGAACGCTCGCCCCGTGGTCACCATAAATCTCTCTGACTTCGGGGAACCCGCCCTTTGCCGAAGAAACGATGTACATACTACAACGAGCGATCGGACGAACGTGACTTAGAACGAAACCAGAGAGTTTTTCTGTTTGCTTTTTTTTTTCGTCGCTGCGCAAAGAGATCAGGTTCGAGTAAAGACACGGTCTTTGAACACGAAGCTCTGAGACATAGTTTAATTTAGATGCGCATAATCACATGTATGTATATGCGGAATAATTTTTAAGGAAGACAATCTGGCCTTCGATGATTTCGAAAACGGACGGACCAACAATTTCCACGATACACTTTTTTTACCGTCGGTTAGATTTTACCATTTTTTACCGTCGGATCGAAGCAACGCTTCTGATCGAGAGTTTTGCGTTCGCAAGGGACGCTGTTTCATCGCCTAAATACGCCAGGATGACGAGAATAATACTACGAAAACGCGGACTGTTCCCCGGGTCTATGGAACTTTTCTTCTTTCTCAAAGCGCGAAAGTATGTCATTCAAAATAAAAAAAAACGGAAATAAATATTAACCCGTTGTGTCACCCGAGCGAGCGCGCGGAAAAACTTTTACTCGGCATTCCAGTCGAGCCGAAAGAGAGAAAGAAAAAAAGAGAGAGAGAGAAAGAAAGAGAGAGAGATCTAGGCGTCGAATGACACCCTCTCGTCTTCCATCCAACACGTGTGCCAAACAAACCAACAAACCAACAACCCTCATCCTTAACCCGAGTGATATATGAACCGACCAGTATTAAAAAAATAATAATAAAAAGAAAAAAAAACCAAGTAAATGTAACGATAATCGTTGTTGAATTTTTGAAACACGCGGTAGATCTTTGGACACCGCGATCTTAAACGTTTGTATCGACCGCACTGTTGTTGTAGCGTGATTAGAGTAATGTGTTGAGTGTTGATCGTTTCTGCGAGCGCTTCGAGCACGTCGACGGCTCCACCCGAGACTCTCCACCTTGCTGCGCAACTCCTCGCACACCGAAATCCGCCGATTGTTATTCTCCAATGGTGATCCTCTCGCGCGATAATCTTTTTTATTGTTTTCCCTCCGTTAATACGCACGACGTCCCTTTGATTCTTCATTTACCGCCCTTAGGCCTTAGGCGAGTTGTTTAAGATAAAAAGAGAGAGAGAGAGAGAGAGAGAGACACGTAGCGAATCTTCCCGTATGTTATAGCGACGTAGTTGCATTCTTATACTTCGTCATCACGATGTCGATCGAGATTAAGTAACATTATCGATGTAACGTAGCCGCGACACCGAGTGACTCGGTTGTGCATCCGGCACGATTTCGGACAATAATAACGGAGGGCGTTACGATTGCGTGACGGTAAGCAGGGAGAATTGTTGTCGCACGGCAATATTGCGCTACCTTGTATATTTTTATTATACAAATTAGACTAGCGCTTTTCTTTATTTAATCATTTGTACGCTTCATTGATATATTAAACAGAGGATCCCCTCCGAATCGCGATCTGCATGATCGCGGTCAGTTCACCATAGGAGAGTACACGTTCGCTGTTTCCTTCGCCGCGACTAGAATCTTTAATATACAAATATTTACGCGCGCAAAAAAAAACAAGAAAAGGAAAGAAATTGATCGCACGACTGCAGAAAAAAGAAAACACGCAGCAGATTACTTAACGCACCGATGGTATTTGTGAAGATGTCAATCGAGCAGTGACCGACGCACGCGCGACACCGATGCCGCGGCACGGACGAGACGGACTGTCCGTCGGCATCGACATTCCGAGCCGCCGATGATACATCCCTCCCGTGAATCCACCCTCAACACTTTTGTATCGGTTCGACGCGCCGTCGTACACAGCCGCCACTTGTCTTATCATGTAAAAATACATTACTGTTTCGAAACACACAAAACCTCTTTATAATTCCAACGTCTCCTAACACGATTAACGGCTCACGTAGTTGAAACCCGCTTGAAATCTCCTTACACTCGAACTTTTGCGACAATACGAGCACCCGATTGAGGATTACTTTTAATTGGGGCGTGCATCGTGAAGGAACAAAGATGAGGAAGAGGATGAACAGTGCATTAATATCTCATTGCGATATCTCGTGCGCAGAAAAAAGTGCTAAAACCCGGTAAATAATTACTCCGATACTCCTTAAAAAATGTTTACTCGGATCAAGTGAAATATTTTCCAAGTGAAATTATCCATATGAAATATTTACTTGAAACCAAATAAAATTGTCTTGATCGAAACAAAAGTTCACTATCGGAGTATTGGAGTAATTATTTATTTGAATCTAGCACCGTTTTTCTGTGTAGCAACTAACGCTAATTTTCAACTAATCGTTTAATCATTGCTGTATGATTTCGCCTTGACCTTCGTCGTTCGGTGGCGTTTAATTTTATTCTCCGCACAATTCGAGCATATAATCCAAGTCTAACATGTGTAAAAAAATTGGCTCTCTAATAATTGAAATACAAAAGCGGGTAGATCACAACTACTAAACTCCATTATCGAGAATCAAAGACTCGGCTTAACCTTGGCCATGCGCTACTTCTGGATAAAAAGGTTACTTGTAAATTACCTTTCATACGTAATATAATCACGAATTGATATTTAACGAATTAAGGATATTACACAAATTGATATTTAACGCGGGCGAACGATCAAACGAAAGAGACAGGAGTCGCCACAACATATTACAATCAACAGCGCGTTCGTTAACGTTCGCGGCATAACCGAGGGCGGAAGCACTGTGATTCATGAGGGAAAGTGACGAGCGGGAGAGAAAGAGAAAGAGAGAGAGAGAAAGCAAACGAAATCACAAGCTCCGGACAAGCACGGGCTATCCCGGTGCGGAATCGCGAGGCGACAAAAAATGCCAGTCGTCGCCAATCCTCCGTCTGTCATCGGTACGTCACCAATCAGTGCACGTCCGTAGTTCCGCCGTATCGCGACGATCGTTCTCTTCCACGAGATCTGATCGTGCTGTTCGCGATTCGGCGAGCGCATCCATCTCACCCGCTCGCACATTAAGTTTCAACGAAACCTTAACATTTGCCTGACCTGACCGGAATTACCCTTTTTGGACAAATTTGCACTATGCTTGGATATGCGTACACATTGTGTCTCTCATTCGACTGGTCTATCACTTGACGCATAGCGTATTATACCATATCCAAATACAATGGAAACAAATGAAAATAAAGTCCTTAAGTAAAAGTCCTAAAGTACTTAAAAATTTATTTCTCGAATGATAAATCTTATTTTACAGAAATGAATTTTATATCTCGCGAATAAATTTTTAAATACTTTTTTCTCAGTGTACGAAGATTGATGAGAGTCTTAGCTTAATAAATGTTAAGGCTTTATTCAAGTTTAGTGTACAGAGATCAGCATAATAGCCTTGACACCTGTATTATTAAGAATTATTACGATTTTCAACTATATTCATATATACATGCAAAAACACAGATTGAAAATCGTAGTCACCACGTGTCGAGACTTACTCTCACCGGTCTGTGTGCACGAAGGAAGAGTGCTTTTCGAGAGACAGAGAGGAAAGGGGACGCTTTTGGCTGGGCGTACGCGTCGATGCGTGCATTGCGAGACATGCGTTTCAATTAAAACCGCCGTGAATTATGCGCTACTCGATCGCGATAGCAGCATGTTGCCAATTTTCCGCGAATAACGAGGACCAGCAAGGATGTCATTGTCGCTTGTACTAGCCCGAAGATCAAAGCGCGTCCTTATCGTGTTTAACCAGTGAATGCTCAAGCGCTGAGAGAAGAAAAAATTATTGTACGGTACCGAAAAATGACAAAAAAACGTCTTCAAGAATTTGTCTGTTCGTTTTTCAGTAACTCAAAACATAATTGTAACTGCTGCGATATTGCATAATGTGACGAGTCGGTGTTATCACTATAATTCCGATTCACCGATCGACTGCGAACAGTGCGATAATAACGTCATTTGCGAACAGCGAATAAAATCGTCGAGACATGTGAGACACGGTTGTAAAAAGACTACTTTAGAATGTCGCCTCGCCCCGATACATAAAATACCTCCGACGATTTCCCGTCGTCGTCAAAGGAACGTAGCACCGACTTTCCATCTCGCATTCTCCCCCCGCTTCCCTTTAGAAAATTGAGGCCGATTTCTACTATACGGTCAAAGCACAGTCAGATTACAGTTAAGTCGCGATCAGTTTTTTCATGCTATTCACATTCTTCCATCATCTAATAACTTTCCGTCGGTTAGTCTTGCAGCACCATTCGCGTCAATACATTGTTTTAAGATACTCTCCAAATCTTCACTTATCAAAATCACTTTGATTTTGCATGATGAAAAACAGAATGGAAAAGTTTAAAAAAAAGACGAGATTTTGAGAGTGCATAAGATACTAAGAAAATGGAAAGAAGATGGAGAATTTACAATTTTATATCCAGAACTTGTGAATGACAAAGCAAAATTTTAGAAATATTTATAAATATATTATATATTATAATATATTTATAAATATGAATTATCTTATAAATATTCTTCGTCTTTCTCAGACGAGAAAGATGAATTCCCCTTCATAGCTGAATGTCTATTGACCGTTTACTGATTGTCTTCTGACCATTCCATATTCTCTCTTGACGATCACGGCAGGATCGCCAGTCTACACTGAGAAAAAAAATACTTAAAAATTTATTTGTGGGTATAGATTTGTAGGTATTTATTTGTGGTGGTATTACATTTAGATTATTGCTTAACTTGACCAATAGTGCGAATGCAACCTCGAGAAAACATTGAATTTAATGAAAATAATATTTGACCGTGATCTTACCGTGATCTGATCAATAGTGCGAATCGAGCATTATCCACGTGCAAAACTATAGCCTTGTGAATTATACTTATAGCGTTATAAGTGATTGCTCCACTCTCCCGAGCGCGTTATTATTTCTTAGCATACATTTTCGTAATTTATCTGTACGATCGATCTCGATCCGCTAGAGAGATACGTCGGCGAACAATGTGTAACGTGACACCTGCTTCCCGGCGATTCGCGAAGGCAACGCGAAGTACGCTTGAATTTGCATGCATGGCCTGATGCGCCTGATGCGCACTCATCGTGCGATCAATCCGGTTTGTCGGTGAGACTCATCTCGTTGTTTAATTCATCCCTCAGGATCAGAACGAGTCGATGGGATATGGACCACCGGGCAACATCCAGATCTCCTTGGCTAACGGGAACATCATGAAGATCCCACTAGCGAGTATCAACATCAGCGAAGAGGTGAACAAGACCGGCATCTGGCAGCAGGTCAACGAGGGCAACGAGAAGTCGAAACAGTCCAAGTCATTAATCAAGTATGCATCGGATTTCGATTGATCAGTCGCGCGTCGGGCTCATCAGTATAATGTATGATCAGTAAAACTGAATTATCTTTAATCTCCAACAAAATACTTAAATCCTCTTCGTGGCAATGATGGTTGCGTTTTTTCACAATTTCGAAACGACGATTTCCAAAAAAAGTCAACTTGAAAATCGTTTCACGCAATTATACGAGGCTAATCGAGATCCGTCGATGTACAGTATGGGGAAGCAGAAGAAGCACACGAAGAAGGACAACTCGTTGCTGGCCGACGAGACGACGAGGCTGACGACGATGACCGAGGAGGACGAGGATGACAGTGGGATCTCGATCAAGGTGACAAACGTAAATGACTCTAAATTCTAACTACCATCATCACCAAACCGACAATTCATATGGCAAGACACACAGCAAGAGCACCAATACACCGGCATGCAACATACTACCCCATGCACCACCGCTGTGAGTAAATTTACAAGCGAGGAGCGGCATGAGACGGCCCTCGTCGAGTCGTCGTAAAAACGAATTTAGATGCGGACGACTCGTCGCAGAGAACGCGGACTTTCATGGACGCCGACGGCCACGACGAGAATATGGCGTTTTCTTTTTTGTTTTTTTCTTTTTTTAAACGTGTAACATCGATAACGAGCATTTTTACGATTTTCTTTCATCCCATAAATTCACGTCCACGAGAGTCGTAATCGCTCGAAGGGACGTCGGTCGGAGAAAGAATTTTTTCGAGCACTCTTTATCGTGTCGTCACGACAGCACGCTGTTCGCGTTTTCTCGCCTATTTTCTCGCGCAGTGACGTCATTCTCCGTGAAATTCGGCTCTGCAGCTCGTGCTTGCGCTCTTAGAAATACCGCATGCATACGTTGCTCTTCGTTGTTCCCTGCGCAACGAAGCAATTGCATTGAGAGAAAGATATAGTTATTTTCGGGGACAACGATATCCTTTTTTTCATTTTAACTACAAAAATAGAGAGAATCAGGAGAACTATTTTCCTAGTAAGTGTTACTATAATGTCAGTGATAATAACCTTGCGTGCATGTTGCCACTACTATTTTTGTGATTGAAACAAAAAAGGATATTGTTGTCCTCGAAAATAATTATATTTTTCTCTCAGTGTGAATATTGATCGAGAAGACGTTACATGCGGATGTAGCTCGTCGACTTGCGTTTCATACGCGTCTTACGTATCCTCGTTTATGGAGTTGACTCTCTGAGTGTGTATGTGGATCATTGTAGAGGTAGAAGTGCCAATCGTGCATCGTGTGGACGATCGCGAGATGCAAGCTTTGAGAAAAAACAGACTGATATAACGTTTTCTCTCGAACGAGCTTTATAAAGCGGGATGGAAGCATTTAGCATGCTCCTTCTATTAATATAGCACCTTTAGGTTTCTGTGTCGTTGCATGGGCATTGAGAGACTCGCTTCCTACATTACTTACCGTATTAAGTGGTCGTGCAAATAAAGAGCGACCCTGATTTTCTTTTATTAAATGTCGCTATATTATAAAATTGCCGCTGGCGATTCTGAGACACTCTGTATATCGTGAAGAATATCAGGTACACACAGAAAAATACATACTGCATTCGAGTAAATATTACTTGTTTCAAATATTTCATAAGTTTATATATATATATATATGAATATATGTACCATAAGTTTACTATAAGCATCAAATTTATTCAAAATATATTCTGAATCCTAAGAGTTCAGTCCAGAATGTCAAATTAAAACAAGCATCGACTTGTTTATTCAAATTAACCGAATTAATGACTTTCCTTCGATAAAGTTTGTAATATTCTTAAAAAGAAAATAAATTCTTCTTTCGAGTACATAATATTCAGCTATTTTGAAATTCATGATGAATATATTTGAAGACAATTATCAAAAAAATATTCTTTGTTGAAGGTAATTATTATTTAAAAAAAGGAAAGTGAATTGTCGCTTTTCTTAGCGTAATCTCTTAGCATAACTTCTTAGGATAATATTTTTCTTGTGTATTGCTTCGTCGATTATAAAAATTTACTCAAAAAGAGGCACCTTTATCATACAGAATATATTTCTCATTATACAGAATATAGGCAGCACAGCATTTTTGTATTACCTTTAAATAGGATGTTTCAGAATTACAAGCGAGAACTCAACTAATTGATAAAATTCACAGAAAGCGACATAATATTCCGCGAAAATTGTGATTGCGATTAGTAACGAATAAGCCAACGTGATCATTCGTCCTGTTGGTGAAATTTTAGGGGAAGCGTACCGAAGCGAGCTCCAAGGAATATTAATTAGAAATTAACGAGCTATTCAATTGGACTATTTCAGGTAGATTTAATACGATCCAAGGAAAGCATCAGTCCCTTGAAAGCGAATGGCACTACCTCAGCCGAAACTTCCGTTTAACATGAAGACAGCGGAAACGAGCGCATGTTGACGCGACACGCAGGCTTCTTTGGTCGATCCTTTCGAGACTTTCGCCCACTTCGTTCCCTTCTCCGCAATCTGCGTCCATCTCTTTCTTGCGAAACGGCCATTCGGCCGACGAGGAACCCGTAGATCGTCGCGTCATCCAATTTCGCCGCGAGACTTTCGTTCGTTTCATTCGAGAAGCGACACCACCCGCCGCCTATCATTTCGCGATTATCCTTGATTGTACTGTATTTGTACTATATACTTGCCGATCGACGCGCGACCCTAGAATTTATACTCGACTGTAAATGAAAGTCATCCATGTACAGAGTCCCGATGTGTCTGTACATAGGAGCGATTCGATTCAAGATTCTCGCCAATTAGTGTCCAGTCGTGTTACTTTACGAAGGCTCTTCTCTCATCCCCGTAAAAGTGGTACGCGCGCTCGAATACGAGAGACGCGGCGGGTCGCCATAAAAAGCAACTTGGGCAAACGTGGTAGAAGCGGAGGAGAAACGATATTTATACGTCTGTATTGTGATGGCTGTTCGTATGACAATTGATTCTTTCCAGAAAGAGAGAGAGAGAGAGAGAGAGGGGGAAGTAGGGTATTCCAAAACTCGACGTGGTACAGACGTACGGTAGTTACGTAATAGATTTTACATTGTAACGACGACGGAAAAGAAAGTACGGTAAAATATAAAGAATCACACATACCACTGCGCCTCAGTCGGACGATAGGAAATACGAGTCGGCGAGAGCCATGACGTTTTACGAGTCACTGGGGGGATACCTCCACGCTGGAACTCGCGGAAAGCGCACATTTTTCCAAGTCGTATAAGCGATACCAAAGAAATAAAGAAGAAAATACACCTGTACGTCGTATATTTATAATGCGCCTGAGTGTAAGATCGCGATAACGCGCGGCAAAATTCGAATCTTCAATCACGGCCCTCGAGAAGTCCCTCGAGCTTCGGTGATAATTCGTTTCCGATATTTCACCGTGACGGTATTTCGTTGCGCGGCATTGTGCGAGCCGCAAAAAAGAGGGGAAAAAGTAAGTAAGGAACGAGTAAGTATGGCATTGCCGTGCAGTATGGCACGCGATTCTGCGCGCGTGTAGCGATTAAGTAGTTAAAATGTCTCTGTAATCCTAGTATGCCAAAAAAACCCCGCAATGTACACGTGTACCGACGTTTCCTTCGAGGGATATCTCGCGAATCACTGTCGGCGAGGATCACCGAGGGGAAGTAACTTGCAACGAGTACGGTCGCTCGTTGAAGAAAACTGCACTGGAACACATCGTTCGTTCTCGGATCGTGTTAACGTGTTGTTTTCTGAACGGCTACCTCGCGAACTAGGAAACGGAGGGGAGAGAATATCCCCCGTACAGCTAAATATCAGGGTGAGGAAAATATCAGGGAGAAGTAGAACATTATTTGTACCGTTACAAGGAAGTTACCTTTTTTCAGTAACAACTTGGTAACGACGTTAATTTTTTTTTTTTTTTTTATTAATAACGGTACATGTTACATTATTGGGGTAACGAACACAATCGTTGCTTTTGTCGTTACTTCGCACACGTAGAATACATGTATGTGGAATAGACAAGAGCGAATCATAAAAAAAAAAATAGGTCTTCAAAACCCGGTGCAAAAGTAACGGTGATGCAACGATTACTTAGATAACGATGACGAGTTACTGTCCAAAATAGCTTTGCTGCTAAGCATCACTCGTCTCCTTTATAAACGGAACACGGTATCGGCGTTCTTCTTCTCGTTCCGGGCACCGATATCCCGCGATTTCTATCACCGAGGAAATCTACTTCGAAAAAATCACCGAGCTTTCTATCAAGCGGATCTCACCCGCGAATAACATTCGCGAAATAGCTACTCGCTGATGAACACGATCGAAATTGGATTTATCTTGGAAGAGTTCGCCTTTTTTAATCGACGTCCTGTTTTCCAAACGATGAAAATCGAACCCCCGAGGACACTCAAAAGTATCTTGTAGCAACGTACCGTTCGTTTCATTATTTGTCACTGAAAATCCTGGACCGGCTGGAGGTTTCGCGCGAGAGCTGATCATCGGAATTCTATTTTCGTAACTCTTTTGATATCTGGACACGTCCAACTAGCCATCAGCGACAATATCGACATATTCTAATTATAGTGAAATTAGTTTCTCCCCCATCGCGCAAAATTCGCGAGGAATTTTCGAAAAAAAAAAACATTCTCCGTGCCGGTGAGGTACGATGCAACATGCTTTTTTATAACACAGTCCCTTGAAGGATAATCGATCTCGTTCGTGGTTAGAGGAAGATAATGTAGATCTGTATAGCCCGTATATCCAAGTAGCAGACGTCATATTGACGACAGTATGACGTCTCTAGCGTCAATATGACGTCTTCTGACGTCACTCTGCTACTTGGGAATGCACATAGCAGCTAATCGTGCGACAATTTACGAGTTCACTGTGTAACAAATAATATTCTGTCGAGCGACGTAAATGGCGCATCTCTCAATTCAGCGTAATCAACGAGTCGATCGAGCGAGAATCGTCGATATTAATTGTTCTCAAAGAGAGAACGACTTTCAAATTTGATTCGACCGCGAAACCAATATTTCGTTGCGTCATACGTTCAATTGACTGTAATCGTACGTTCAACACCACAGTTCATTGCAAATCAGTCCAATGCAATGTGATAACGCAGATAACCAATTGCAGAAGTTCCCAAGTCGACGGAATGTTCGCGTTAACAAGTAACTCGTACGAATCAGTCCGCGACATACGCCAAGCAGAGAAATCGTCAGATCCTTTTCTCAAACGACAGTGCCGATAATTAAGGTCTTCATTATGAAACAAGAATCAGCTTTTCGAATCGGCTAATCAACAGCGAGTCACATCAATCACTTTCGCATGAAATTTCCACAAAATTGGTAAGCTAGCCGGGAGAAGAAAAGAAGAAACGTTCCGCGATATATTTTTTTACACAGACATTTTTCGCTAAACGAATAGTTTGAGGAAACTGCGTTCCAACTCGACGCAGGGCCGACGCGAGAGTCGTGTCTTGCGATACGCACTTGGCGAGTAGGAACGCTCAAAAGGAAGACCTACAATTAAAATCAATATATGTAAACATTTGTATCGCTGGAAAGTATAATCGTGCGTATACCGCGTACTTCTTAAGTATATACATATATATATATGTATGTATATATATATTTTTAAGCAGAGAAAGAACGTGTGCGCGCTCGTGTACTCTCCGAAGCGAGAAGCTTAAAATCGCGAACAGCATTCGTTTGCGGGCGATGTCGACGAGACTGGCGTGTTACGACGCGGTATAACTCGGATCGTGTCGTTTATTAATCGAACGAACCGTGACGAGTCCGGAGAGCGTGCCGTGATCTTCGCGATGCGAACGAGAAAATGGGAAAAAAATTAATCTCAACGGTTAATGCGTAAATTAAAATAAAATTATCTTACCAAACAGATGTATGTACGCGACGTGTATGTGTGTGTTTGTGCGCGTGTATATGTGCGTTAAGTCCGTGTCAGGTAAAGCTCGTGTCGGAGACTAGATATCGGGGATGGAAGATTCCGGATCGGAGAAGACTGCACGGAGAGGAGTAATTTGCAGGCGCATGATCGGATTTTGCTGAATTCACAAGTTATTCGAGTGTAAGAATAAATTAATAAATGTAAGAAAACACTATTCTGTCCTAGCAGCAAGTTAACGTGTCCTATGGATAAATTCACTCAGCAGGATATTTTTTATCCCAACAACGAAACTGTTTCTGCTCTAATTACGAATGATTCGCTAATTTAGTTATGCAAACTAAATGTTATTGCTGTCGCAACGAGTATGCAATATCAACGATGGTTTTGTCGGACTGAGAAAAATTATTTGAAAATCTATTTGTGGGGATATAAATTTTGTGAAATAAACTTTATTTCTGAAAGACCTTATATCCCCCCCCCCTCCCCCCCAAGCAAATTTTTTAACACTTTTTTCTCAGTGTACGACAGCAAAATTATTTTTCTCCGTGCGGAACCGGTTCAAAATCAGGACGCAACGAATTAAGATCGAAATTCATCGATTCGTCGAATACTAATTTCTAGTTCGCAATCCTCGATCCTCAACTTCCGATATTTGATTTGATGTGAGCTTAACAAAAGCGAGATCAGAAAGCGGCGAACAGGCTACAATCGCCGATGTAGTATTAACTGGTTGTGACTAGGTAGGGAAGATCCTGTGAGCGAGCGGCCGAGTCGTCGTCGAAAGTAACTGAATACCTGTCGTGTACCTCCAAAGCGTGCTGTGTTATCTTCCATCGAACAGGCGATCCAGATCGAGACGTTGTGCTGCCGCCCTGCGTTGCTTAAGAAGGTGATGTTTAAAAACGTGGGCCTACGCTACAGCCGGATGAAACTGCGGATTCGAGGAGAGCTAACTAACTTCCTGGCGTACATACGTGAATCGCCGATGTCACAATGGCAATCGTTCGATGACGACGGAGCGCGTCTGTATGACGCGAAGCAGGTCGCAGGACAATCCGAGGAAATGCGACAGCGAGAGAGTGTGATTCATGTTGCAACTCACAGTGTAAAAGAACCGATAAAGATTGCATCTAGAAGGCGGCATCTGGAGAAATACGGCGAACGATATGACGGAGCGTTCAAGTGAGAAAGTTCGTATTAGAAATTCGTACTAGAATTCCATTCTGTCGTTGTATTCTGTAGTGTCGGGTGCCGTTCAGCTTTAGTTAAAATATACAATGTATAATTAATAAATTAATTGATAATTATATGTAATTTATATGTACATTCGATTCTCAACACTTCATTTTTCAGTCCAGCAAGCCAGAACAGCATGTCATAATATAGTCAGAGTTGGGCGAGTTAATTTTTACGTTTAACCAAGTCAAATTAAAAATTAATGCCCTGCAAAATTAACTAAGTTAAAAGTTACCTGAACCAAAATCAACTTAAAGTTAATGCGTTTTAAATTAATTAGCTCGAATTAAAAGTCAACTCATCTAAAATTAACTTAGTTAAAAGCTATTAACTTTTCAACTTTTTAATTGAAGATTACGTTGTGAAGCGCCTAAAAAAGTTTTCTACACCACTTTATTGTCATTAATTTCGTCAAAGTTACATCCTGTTAAATTTTATTTATTAAATTTATTTTAATTTAATTTGATATAAATATATACATTTTTATCATTTACAAGCGCGAAAACACCTCTAAAGAAACATGTCTCTCTTGTGTATGGTTGCTTTACAATACATCCCAAGCTCTTAAAAATCGATGAGGAACATTTCCAGATCTTCTCCCGTAAGATCCAAATGTGAAAATCATTCACGATGTTCTACTCCTTATCGTTCTCTTTATTAATCTTTATGTCATTATTCGTCCGTATTTGGCAAGTTTTCCTGGGTACAATTGCAAAGCGGAGTCGACAAACTTCCCATCTGAAATTGCACAAGTATCACCAGATACGTTGTCACCGCACTCATCATCTGATAAACAAAAATGTCACAAATAGAGTGAACGATTTTAATATGCCGCAATGTTCACATGGAAAATTTTCGCTGAGACCAAACTACATTTCGAAGAAGATAAGTGTCCTCACCGAATGGAAAAGAGTGTTGTCGAGCGAAAAGTATCCGCTAGCCGTGAAGTGTATCTTGCGGTGTAGCAGTTGAAGCGAAAATTGCTTGAGCTGCAATAAATTTCTAATAAATTCGTCGTTACGACGCAATGAACGAACCCAGATAGCACAGGAATATTTTACGAATGTTTTATATAAATATTTATAATAAATATTTTCATTACGAATATTTGTACATTCATAGAATCATGTACGAATACAGAAAATAAAATTTGTGAAATACTTGAAACAAGTATATATCCGCAAGTATATTATAAATTTATCATAAAAATGCACATCAAATTTATTCGAAATATATTATCAATTCTAGTAAGTTTAGTACTTTAATCAGAAATATTAAAACTCGAAAACGTCGGTTTATTTTATTTATTCCAATTATTTAAATTAAAATTTCGATGTATATTATTATTATTATTCCAATCTAACTTTTCTTCGATAAAATGTATAATATTTTTAAAAAGAACACAAATTCTTCGTTTGAATAAATGATAATGAGCTGTTTTAATATTTGTGATGTGAGTATGAATATATTTTAATACTGAATCATCGAAAGAATATTCTTTCTTAAAGATAACCATTACTTAAAAGAGAAAAAATAAACTGAGTAATTGCTTTTCTTCGTAATACAAGTAATTTTTCTTTCTGTATATGTAAGATTGTTTTACTTTCTTCATGCGTAGTAAATGAAGTGTTCTAAGAACGTTTCTTTCTACTATGAATATATGAATCTCTGATTATAATGACTACAATGACTGACTACAATGTTTTATTTATATTCATGTGAAATATCCGGTTCAAATATTCTGGAATTAAGAACATTCGCATTTCGTAATATTTATAGAATATTTCGTGCTATCCGGGAAAGGGTTTCGAGTTTGCGTTACCTCTGACTTCACCACGTTGCCGATCGTGCAACTCAAGAGTTTATGTATCGCATTGCCCGTCTTCCCCATCTGCAACAAATCGAAGATATAGAAACAACGCCGCACAATTTCACAGAATTCCTATCCGTTCCGTTGCTTGCGTTTTCGCGAGTTTCAACGAGTCCATCCAATTATGCGTATTACCCTACCTCATACAAGATCCTGGTGATCCTGGTGGTGAGTAGCATGATGGGATATGTCAAAAATATCAACCAGATGATAGTATCGGCCAAAATGATGTATTCCAAGACCTCGTCGCTCAACAATAACGGTGACAGCAGATAGTAGCCGTTGTACACGAGTGAGAAGAACATGAAGAAGATACCGAAGACTATCGGCGTCGAGTAGAAGTTCGACACGTCCTGGCAGACCTCGCAGAGGTTATAGTGCACGTCCCGCAGTTGCAGCAGCTGATGAACGCTGGCGTTGCTAATGACGACACGTCTGGTCTGATATAGGGACTGCGGCTGGGAATTCGGCGTGTCGACCCTCGAGAGACTCTGTATCGCTTGATTCACGTCGGCTAAGTCCGCCTGGATGACGGTGACCAGCAGGAAGTATTGGATCATGAACCATCCCACGTGAAACGTTGGCAGGATGTCACTCAGCCAAGCGATCGGGCTCGTGTAGAAGGCGAGGTACTCGCAGACCAGGAGAGCCATCGCCAGACTACCCTGCAGGGTACAGACGACCGCCAGGACACGGAAGACGCGCTGTCGTCGCAGCGAAGGGTACAGACGGTACAGACGGTCCAGCTCGCATTTGACGTCCGACAGGCGATTGGCGATTCGCACCAGGGACCTTTCTCCGAAGCAGTAGCTCAGCAAGATCGCGCAGATCGTCGTGCTGCCGAGGAAAGTCTGAAAAACCTCGATGCCCATGGTCATGTTCGTCTTGTTGGGATACTCCATGTTGATCCTGTATGGTATCGACAGGTAGTTTGAGGCGATCATCAGGCTGACCAATACGGCGTTGTAAACGATGCCTAGCTCGGAGTACTGAAACGTGCAGGACATCTGCGGGCTTCTCTTCTTCCCGGTGGCGACGTAATGAGAGAAGGTCGCAAGGCCGATCACCTTGAAGAACGTCAATAGCATCCGAAGCGGCCACAAGGTGTCCTGATGGAGCCGTGACTTAATTTTCGTCGTTTTCTGCTTGCTGAACCTCTCCGTGACGATGCCCACTTTCTCTAGGTTCCCGAAGATATTGAAGACCCTGTGGGCATCCATGAAGACTAGGTACTCAACCGGATCGGAAGCATCCTCGCGATGGGGTTATTCTCTTCGACAAATTAACCTGAAGACGACGTCGAATTTCTTCCTATCATCTTCAACTGGTGGACGTTCGTATAAGCCCTTTCCATAATTTCAGAAATATCTCTCACAATTTTTCGCCAATCAATGAAGTACGCATAGTCTTCCGACGTCGGATACAACGTATTATTTTCCAGATATCTCCCGCCAATCGGTGTGTGCAGGAACTGACTAATTGGTCAATTACTCTTCAATCATTCGAACTTGACACACGCGCCCGAGTCTACGTCGCGCTTCATTCATGCGAGGCGGCACTGAGCGCACGCAGCAAAAAACTTTTTTGCAAAGGTCGCGGGGGCGCATCGCCTATGCAAAACGTCATCAAATATTAATTCTACGAGAGTCATAGGCGGCGCCCTTGAAACTAATAAAAATCATAAAGTCAACACTGTTACTTGCGATGATACCGACGCCGCAATGAAGTTGTCGATTGCCGGCTAACAGGCGCGTTGTGTCACACACTGTGCGCACGCTGTTAGTCTGCGGTATCCGGCTGAAGGAATTATTAATAACGCCTATACGCGGCACGATTCGCGATGCGATATGAAAATACACCGTCCGTGTCATCTTCAGCTGTCGCGCCTCTCCAACTATGACGCTGGGTAGATTATCTGTAATTAACAACGAGCGCTGCTCGAAAGTAGTCCGTATTCGCAACGTACGATCGTTGTTTCTGCATTCGACGACGTCTTCGTTTATCGAGCCGTGTTGTCGTTCTCATTATCTTTATTCCCCCTCGGGGAACGCGATAAAATATTCTCCTCTTGCCGGGCGTATAAAATTCTCCCTCTCGCTCTAATAGAACGTCCTACTGTTAAAATAAACACGTACGTTCATGCGCCGTGGGAAACGATGTTTTGCTGATACGTAGAATATATATATTTTTTTAATGCCGAAGATAACGCTCGTCGTTTGACGAATTATCTGATTTAACGTCGCACCGTCGCAAGCCGGCAAACATGAAACGTACATGCGCAACATTGTTCGTGACACCTGTAATAATGAAAAAAGCATCATCGTGTGAAATCAAGTGTGGGCAGCGATTATTTCTCCTTTCGAAATATTCAAGATACGCGGCTTAAAAATGAGAAGCTTCCAATGTTCGCGTGAAATGAGTGCAAATTATATTTGCGCTAATGGCTACGATAAAACTATCTAAGCAGGATCAAGCGTATACATGCGCAAATACTTCAAATCATTTCGCGTGCATATCGTTTGGTACGTACATACATTTTGCGGCGTCAAATCACTCATTTTATCTTTACAAATATGCGATTTTATTAACGAAATTATTATGACAAAACTTCGCCCTTATTGATGTGTGTTTATAAAAGTACTACTACCTTATAATTAAATAAATGCACTCACTTAACTATAATTTAATCTAACTTTATTTAGTTTAATATAATTGTAATGTTTTTCTCTTACATATGTGTGTATTTATGTACATATATATTTATACTCGTGTTACATATTCACGTGTATTATTGCAAATTTATCCGTGGCGTAAAATACAGTCAACGCGGTAAAATAACGTGTGCTGTGGCAGTTCATCTTTGAACGGAAAAATCTGAATATCGAGTATCGAACATTAAGTCATTAAACAATTCTAATATTCCATTCGATATCCTACGTAAATAGTATTAAAAATAGTATTAATTAAAACTAAAATGTAATACTTACTGATCGTTAAATGATTACCACAATTACTATGTCCACAAATAAAGAAATGATAATGTCCAAAAGTTACTATTCGTTAACTTCTCTTATTTGTACGATTTTGATACTTTCCTATCTATTTATTTTATAATTTTACTGAATCAGCCTATTCGTCTATTCTGCTCCGACTGTCGCTTAAGAATAGCCTGTAACAAGCGTTAAATATATATTGTATTAAGACGAAAATGAAAGTAGCAAAAAGTATTTTATAAGTATACTATATTATAATATGAACTAAAAAATACAAGGCAACAAAAGAGGTCCGTAAACGTGAATAACTGATCAAAATGGAAAAAATAAATGTAGACGGATCGTCAACGACGCATCATCAAGCTGTTATTCGTGAGACTATGAGACGTAATGACAAATGAACGGTTGAGGACGTAGCGCAAACAGTGAAGATTACAAACATGCAAGAACATATAAATCAAAAAACGGTTGTTACAAAGAAAGGAAAGCAATAATAGTATACGAATTTAAATATATGAAAGTCTGTTAAGTAAGTGTCATTAAGATCCTCCGTATCACTTTACAAATTTAAGCCATTAAATAATATAAAATTGTAAAACTAATTATGCTATGATATAAATATATTTGTATTATAATACGATTATATATATATATATATATATATATATATATATATATATACGTTTACCTTCTTCCGCGTTTAATTCCCAATTTGCTATATTGCCGGTGCATCGTTACAACTGAAACAAAAAAAAATAATTGAGGATAGAAAGTTGACTTTTGCCCTTACAAAAATGTTGTAAAATGCAAAAATAATAATCTTGAAATAAAAAAATATTGAAAGCTTAAAATCTAAATACATAGTTATAAAGTATATTAAATACCATAAAATGTTTAAAACATTTTCTCGTATACCTCACGGCTTCCGAAATACTCGCTGATTATCATGTATGTGAAATCAGCCTCGAAGATTTGTTCTAGCTCTTAAATGCACGAGCAGTCATAAAAAAGTATATCCAAATCGATGAAGGGCATCTCCAGATCGTCTCTTGTGTGGTTTAAATATAAAGATCATTCATAACAAATTATATTTGTTATTAGTCATCGTCTTGTTATTGATCTCTGTTTGGCACGTCTTGTTGCGTAATTGTACAATTACAAGGCAATTTCGGTGAGTTCCCCATTTCAAGTTGCGCGAGTATCACTAAATACGTCGTCACCGCACTCAATATCTGATAAACAAAAATGTCATAGACAATGTAAGTAATTTTAATGTACTAAAACGTTCGATACAACTGATATATGTGACTCTCTAATTGTGAAAATCACAAGTAGATACAATAAGAGCTAATAACAGACTAAACGCTGCGTCATTTTGATTTTATCAAAGAATGTGCGTTTATAAAATTACCACTATCCTAATATATAATTATTTTAATTAACTTTATTATATATATATATATATATAAATTTAATAAAATTATAATATTTTTCCGTTAATATAATCATGAACACATAATTTGCCTAACAGGGAAATTTATTTACACTTTCATGAGATACGAACGTTTCGATCCTCATTTTCGAGCTCTCTTTACCGAAATGAAGAAATTTAAAATGGATAATAAGCATAATCAAGAAAGAGAGATACATGCAAACTGATTTCATATGTGGTGTGTTTCAAACTTCTTTATTACGTCGAAAAAGATTCGAAACAATTAGTCTTAGAAGAAATAATAATAAACAGATAGGTAACGGCTAACGAAACATTGTTAAGGTCGCGAGCACACAATTTGGCTGTCAGAAGAATGTTTGTTTACACTTTCGCGAGTAACGAACGTTTCGATTCTCGTCCTGAGTTCTCTTCAGCGTAATGAAAAACTTTGAAGTTGCCAGTGTACCTATCTAAAACCTATTCAAGACAAACGCAAGCTCGGCGTCGTACATTATTTAAGAAGATCCGAAACGCTCGCCTTTAGAAGTCGCAAGTTCGGCCCGAAAGGTCAAACTACATCTGGCTAAGAAATTATCGGGCTAAGAAATCCGAGACTTCTCACCGAGTGGAAGAGAGTGTTATCGAGTGTAAAGTATCCACTAGCCGTGAAGTATACTCTGCGGTGCAGCAGTTGAATCGCGATTTGCTGAAGCTGCAAGAGATCTACAGTAAGATCGTTAAGACCCGATTACCGTGGCCGAAGGGATCTCGAGTTTGCTTTACCTCGAATTGCGCCTCCTTATCGATTACACAACTCATCAGATTATTTATCACCTTGCCCGTTCTCGCCATCTGCAAGAAATTTCAAAGTGGGATGTCGCGCGCGAAATTAATTTCACGGAATCTAGATCTGATCGTCCTCGTTTCCCGGCGAAGGTCGACCGGGTCGACGGCGCGGACCCACCTCGTTCAAAAGCTTGGTGATGCTGTTGGTGAGGAGGAGCACGGGATAAGTCAGGAATATCAGCCACAAGACGGTGTCGGCCAAGACGAAGTACTCTAAGATATCGTCCTTCAACAGCAAGGGCGCTATAAGGTAATAGCCGTTGTATACAAGCGAGAAGAATATGAAGAAGATGGCGAACAGTATCGACACCGAATAGAAATCCGACACGTCCTGGGAGACGTCGCAGAGGTGGTCGTGCACGTCCCGCAGCTCTTGCAGCTGATGAACGGTGGAGTTGCCGACGACGACGACGCGACGACGGTCCTGATAGAAGGACTGTGGCTGGATATTCGGCTTGTTGGCTTCAGTGAGGCGCTGTATCGCGCGATTCACGTCGGCGAAGTTCACCTGGATGACCGTCACCAGCAGGAAGTACTGGATCATGAAGCATCCCAAGTGGAAGGTCGGCAGGATGTCCGTCAGCCAAGCGATCGGGTTCATGTGGAAAGCTAAGGACTCGGCGATCAGGATAATCACCGTCATACCGCCGTGCACGGTGCACGCGAGCGTCAGGACGCGGAAGACGCGCTGTCGTTGCAACGGAGCGTACAGACGGTACAGGTGATTCAGCTCGTGCTCGACGTCCGTCAGACGATTGCCGATTCGCACCAGTTTCTTCTTCCCGAAGCAGTAGGTGAGTAGAACCACGCTGATAGAGATGCTGCCGATCACGGTCTGGAAGATCTCGATGCCGACGGTCATGCTCGTCTTGTTCTGATAGTCGAGCCCGATGGTGTACGGTATCGACAGGCAGACCGAGGCGAGCATCAGGCTGACGAGCACGACGTTGTAGGCGATGCCCAGCTCAGAATATTGAAACGTGGACGACGTCTGCGAGTCCTTTCTCCTCTGGCCGGCGACGCAGTGCGTAAAAGTCGCAAGACCGATCACCTTGAAGAATATTATCAACACCCGAAGCGCCCAGAAGGAGTTCCGCTGATGCGACCGCGTCTTGACCCTCGTCGCTTTCTGTTTGCTCGTCTTCTCCACGACGAAGCCAACCTTGTAGAGGTTGCTGAAGAGGTTGGAGATCCTGTTGGCATCCATGAATGGCTGAATACTCTATCGGACCGGGAGCTTCCTCGCGAAGTAAGTTCTTATCTTCTTGGGCAAATTAATCTAAACGTAATACAGCTCTTTTCTGTTATACCTCGTAAGATAGCCCCCACATATGCTTCTTTTCATAATTTATAAATATTTCTACGGTTTCGTTGATTAATCAAGTGTATACGAGTTCTCGATGTAATTGGTGTAATTAACGCATGTTAAATAATGATCGATCTATCTTTGGTCGCCTCGAAAATCAGATTAATTAAAATTAATTAAATTGATACGCGATCTTTCGGACTTCGTGTGTACACGGTCACGCTTCCGATGAAGAGTCCGCGATACCCGGAATGTACGTCGCGCTTCATTCATGCGAAGCAGCACTGAACGCATACAGCGAAAGACTTTCGCAAATGTCGCTCTCGCAGGCGCGCGCATTGTGTATGCAAAACATTATTAAATATTAACTCCGTGAGAGTCGTAGACGACGCCCTTTGTATTAGCAGAAATCATAAGGTCAACCTTGTAGCGCGCAACGATACCGATCCCGCGATTAAATGCACGACTGCAGGTTAACAGGCGCGTTGTGTCACACGCTGTTAGTGACGCACATTAGTGCCTACTTGAATATTTATAGCCCCTGTGTGTGACATGATACATGTTAGCATATACGAGATAATGCACCGTAATGCTCGTTGGGTTATTAGCAATTAAGCTCGAGTTTTCGAGCTTAACTCGAAAATACGCGTTATTCTCGACGATCGCGTTCTACCGTCGACGATGTCTCCGTTCGTCAAGTTCAAATTGCGCCCTGCGTCCTTCTGCTTCGGGAAACTGCACTGAGATAAAAATAAAAATAAAATAAAAATATTTGTAACTAGAATGATCATAGTAAAAAAAGTATAATCAGTTTTTAATTCTAATATAAATGTTACTGTGATGCCAGTGATAACAGCTTGGCATGCATATCATTACATGGGAAACAATTTATATCAATGTAAGACCTAAACTGAAAACGATCGCTACGTTTAAGCAAATATTTACTAAGGAGTATTGGAGTAGTTTATTTAATCTAAATAAAATAAACTATTCCGATATTCCTTAGTAAATACTTATTTGAATGTAGTAATTTTTTTTCAATGTAATTTTTCATATATTTTTATATGCAAACAAGAATATATAATTTCATATGAGGATAAAACTTGCTCATATGAAGAAATTCTATGTAATTCCGCTAAAAATATTATATTTTAGTTAATTAAGAATAATTTTCATGGATTGAGAGCAAAAAATTTTAGACAGAAAAAACAATATTTTCAAGTTACGAATTGTATTAATTTGAAAATATAATATAATATAATTGAAACTATAAAAGGGGTTGAGGCTGAAAATAACTAGAATTTCTCTCAGTGTATACTTGATGGCGATTCGGCTCAGTCTGGGCTTCGTTAGGCTGGCTTCGTGAACCCACATTGCAATTTCCAGGATATGTCGGGTTCCTACTCGGTGCTGACATCGTTGCCGAGACTCACCTACTTCGGGGAGAAGAGTCAACACGCCGGATCTTCGGCCCTCTGTCAAGCTCGTCGCGCCATCGACGGCAAGTTCATCAGCTGTTGAAGTTACGAGACATGCATACCCGTCTACGACGTCTCCCAAGACTTCTATTTGATGTTAATATTGTTCGTTATATTCTTCGTATTCTTCTCGCTCGTGTAATTCGATTATTACCTTATATTTTCCCTGTCATTGAGCGACGAGGTCTTGGAGTATGCAATCTTGATTGATACCGTCTTCTGGCTGATATTCCTGATACATCCCGTTCTCTTCTTTACCGACAATATCACCAAGTTTTCGAATAAAGTAGAATGGTCCGTGTTACCAAGCCGATCTCGTTGATTCGTTGGAAAACAAGAGATCAAATTAGTTGAAATCGAACGACACCTTATTTCAAGATCACAAATTTCCCCGCAAATAAGGAGAATAGAAAATGCGATAAATAATTTCATAAAATGCGACAATAATCTTATTTTATAATGAACAAAGAGACGAGGCTCAAGTAATGCAAACTCGAGATTCTTTCGACGACAGTAATAGCTTTAATTACTTTTACTGTAGATCTGTTGCAGCAGATCTCGCTTCAACTGCTGCACCGCAGGCTGTCCTGCCAACGTTTCATTTGGTATGGTTCATGATCCAGTACTGCGTGCTCTGGATCATGATCATAAAATATAAATAACATAAAATAATACATAGAGTGTACGTATATAAAATTTTCTCGCTTTTGACATAACATCCTATTGTTGGAATAAATGCGTAGCAGGGAACTTCAGGGGATATTTTGTTATCCCTGAAGATCGTGTTCTATATCGTTGACTTTTTCATTTATTAAGTTATTTAAAAATTTTTTTCATTTTATTTGTTATTTGTTAAGTTAAATGTTTGAACTTTCTCTTTCAGGGAATACGTAAAATATTTTCTATAATATCGGACTCACATAAAATTTTACTGCTCTTGAAGAGACACGCTTTTATTAAAATGACTACGTACGCTCATGCATCGTGGAAAGCGATGCTTTACTATTCCATTCGATGAAAACTTAGATTTCTTGATTCGAAATATAGTTGGTCATTCAGCCACGGCTTGCGCACAAACGTTTCGGATCTTTTTTAATACCCAGATAATATAAACTCGGAACATAAGACGTCTATCAAATGTCTTATTTAAAAATATATTTAAAACATCTTAAAGACGTCTTATATCCTGATTTTAGACATGTCTAAGTAAGTACGACGCTAAGCTTCCGTTTATTTTAGACAGGTCTTAAGTAAGTACATTGATAAGGCGTTTCTTTTTTATTGACAAGTAACATTCTGCTGACTCATAATCTGATTCAACATCGTGCAGATATTTTTTGACGATGTTTTTAAGATTTGACGGCTCAAAGAACGTCACACACTTAAATTTCATATTCTTTTCTTATATCTGATCCTAGTTGTCTAGGTAATAATTCTATTACCATTTTACAATCGTGAATAATAAACGATTCGATTTGCAATTTTTAACAATTATATAACGCGATTAAAGTAATACAATCTATCGCGCAACAAAATCAATATCCGATATTTGTTGCGCGATAGATTTCAACTATGTATAAAAGTTTTTGATGTGTAAATACTGTTAAATCGCAAGATTAAGATCAGTTAAGATTAATATCAGTTAAGACTTATGCTATATATTCAACTTTTGCTATATATGCTACATATGCAGACTTACGCTATATATTCAACTTTATTATACCTCATTTTCGTACCTATAAATTGAAGAACATGAAATTCAAATGGATGACATTGTTTGCGTCATCAAATGATAAAGAATCGTCGAAAAATCCAGTAGTTGGTGCAGAACGAGCGATAATTTTGAAACACGAGTAAATCTAATTAATATATAATAATATATGTCTCTCATGATATTACACGTTATTACGCATAACATGCAATTATTTTTATCATTATAGACATGTGATTTTATTAACAACGTTACTATTACAAAATTTTGCCTTTTTATCGAGATATGCGATTATAAAATTACAATTATCCTATGATTACTAAATATACACATTATTTGTTATAATTTATTCTAATTTTATTGTAATTTTATATAATTGTAACGTTTTTTTTTTTTAATTATCTTTATGAGTACGTACGTTTATAGTAAATTTATTCCTGGCATAAAATGTAATCGACATTGTAAAACGTGCGCTACGGCAGTTCATTTTATCTCGCGACGAAATGATTTCGATAAACATTACATCGATCAATTCTGATACTTTCCCGGTATGCTTAGTAAGTAGTATTTAATTAAAAGGTCGCGTTATACATGTTAATCGTAAAATATTTACAATAATTGTCATATCACCGGATAATGTCCAAAAATGATTTTTGTTAACTTGTCTAATTTGTACGATTTTGATACTTTTTCATTAGCACTTTGTAATCTTACTGTATATCAGTGACTGATTTGATGAAGTAACCAATATTGAGGATATTCAATCAATGACACCGTACATATTTGATGAAATGTTAGTGAATAAAAGAAATATTATATTTATTAATATTATTTTTTCATAATTTCGAAAGTTTTATCTGTTACATGAAAAACAATTTATCCCTCGTTACCATCACATTTTCTCTCAATGGCAATAACATATCATTAATAATCTTAGATCATATTACATAAGAGAGATATTGGAATTAGCGAATCTGATGTATTGCTTCGCCCATTACAAACCCATTACAAACATTATATCGAGTGATAATGTATATTTATTGCGACAATGTAATGATCAGGGATTTACTTTCCAGCACGGGTATACTCGTCAAATGAAATAAAAAAGAAAAAACACCAGTCAGAATATAAAAGACGAACTCGTCAAATAACGTAAGATTACTTATCGAGCATGGTTTTCACGTGCGCAAAAAATTATCGGTCGCATGTACAGAATTGTGCTTCAACACACACGCGTTCTATAATATTCCTAACTTATCACTCGAAAATATTTACTTTACATAATCTACAATGGTGATAAAAGTCTGTAGCAAATTTATGAAAAATTCTCAAATAGACAACTTATATCAAAACACAATGTATCGGCTGGTTCGTTAACATGTTGATTGCCGCGTCAAAATTAGTTACATAAGCTGGCACCATAATATTGCCGTATCCCATTATTTTCTGTTTAAAACGTAAGCAATCTGTATAAAATAAATATATAACCGATAGAGAGTCAATGAAGCCAGCTGATCTGCATCATGAATTGCACTTCGTTATATCTATAGTGATCACAGTGTCAGTTAAGCATTGGAAAAATTAAGGAAAATTAGCGTGAGTCAACTTCGGAATTTCGACATCTTTTATGTAATATGATATAATATATATCATAGTTGCACAAAATTAACTAGTTTTGAATTTTTCAGAATTTTGCTACTACTGCGATTGCAAGAAGCAAGCACTACAAGTTGTTTAACATTTCGCCAAATAAGGGATGAGTGCTCAAAGAATCTTACGCTTCTTGTTTCGAATTGCTCTACGGACGCATTTCGGCTGACTATTTCAGCTTTAATGCGCTTGATTTATTAATGCCATGACAATGACAATGACAATTATAAACGAACTTTATGTTTTACATGAGCATGACAATTACATGTACGTGAGAATAAAGGAGGAGTAACCTGATATCAGGTAGACAAAAAAAATGGTTTACAATGTTAATTCACCTCCTCATTCTTAGGACTCGCACTTTTAGTAGGCACTTCTTTTTCAGCCTCTACTTTCTCAGTTTCGGTGTTGACTGATTCTGCTTCCGTCGCAGGTTGTTCTGCAGCTGATTGTGATGGTTGAATAGTTTGTTGTATGTCCGGTGCTGTTTCTAATTCTGATCCTTCTTCAGTAACAGGTTCTATTTCAGCTACTACATCGGTATCCGGTTGACTCCCGCTGTCATCCGCAGGCGAATCTTGTGGTCTGACAGCATCTATATATCAAAAACTTTTATACATAGTTGAAATTTATCACGCAGCAAATGTTAGATATTGATAATTGTCTTGTCAAATATTACAAATCGAATCGCTTATTATTCACGATTGTAAAGGGATAGTAGAATTATTACCTGGACAAGCTGGATCGGACATCAACGAGAACATCTTTTCTTCGGACATATCTTTCGTCAATTCTTTAAAATGAACAACTTGGTCTGAGAATGATTGCCAAAATGATTGGCCCTCAGGTATTGTAAACATCGCCTGTGTACATTTCATTTATTAAATATAAATACATTTTATTCATTAAATGTAAAACATATATTTAAATAATCCTGTAGTAATATTTTTTTAGAAATTACAGTTACCTTGTATTTGTTGTATATGTGTTCGGCTTTTTGTCTGATCTGCTCAGCTTTTTGTTTGAAAATAGTCTGCAAACATGTTAAAAATATATCATAATGAGATAAAACAATGACAATTATAGAGTATTGTATAGTATTACAATATTGTTAATATACTACAGATACTATTAATATGTATAGATATTACAATATATAAAAGTATATTATAGCATATAATACATATTATTGTATTATATATTATATTAATATAATATTTAGATATTATAATACTATTAATATACTATCGATGATAATAGAACACTTTCTATAATATCAATATCTTATATATGTATATATATATATAGTATTGTACTATTTTATAATGTTATATACTATTTTATAATGTGAACACGTATTATAACAGAGAAACATTTATAAAATGTGTTTTTTACCTCTTCATCAACGCTCAATTTCCAATCTGCTAGATTGCCGATGTATCGTCGCAGCTAATAATAAAAAATAATCATATGAAAAAAGGAAATTTTTCGATGCTGTTACAAAGATATTGTTACTTTTAATATAATATTCACCCTTTTCACAGTTTCAACGATGTGCGGATGTTTTTTCAGCATTAAAGGATCAATCGAAAGAGCCAAGATGTCATCCATCGCCTGTAAGCATTTATCTGCATTGGCTCGGTCTAGCCCCAAGCTAGATTTTATTTGGGCGTCCAATTGTAGAAGTTGAGCCTCTATGCGAAGCCATCTGCAAAACAATACCACAGACGTTAGTACACGGTTGCTGATATCTCTATAAAATTTTCCCATTTTCTTCATATACTCGTTTCTTTTTCATAAAATGACACAGCGATGTATTTCTTTATACCTTAGCTTATAGGTTTTACGGTGAACAGCCCCGTCTTTCAAAGCACGTTTCTCATCTTCTGGCACATGCACGTTGAAGTCTAGAGAATCCTTCACTTGTTCCGGTAAAATCTCACCGCTCTCTAATTGTGCCTTGAGCTTCATGGCTTTCCTAGCAGTTACCCAATCCCACTGTGTCCGGGCTTTCTCGTTTTCGAAGGACTTCGGTCTGTCCACGTCCAACTTGATGCCTACGTATTCCCCAGTGAATGTACGAGCTAGAAGAAAACGACCTGGTGTATCAGAAGATGTGCCACTAGATACTATAGTATCATCTAGTATCGGCCCTTCACCTGCATTACTTCTCTCTGCAAGGTAAACAGGATATCATATCAGGATATCGAGAATAGAAAATAAGTAAATTGGGAGAGACTAATAAAGGCATTGGTAACTAGTTGTGAAATTAAAAGAATTTGACTTACGTCGATAACTCTCCTCATTGAAAGTACAAACTTCGATCGTAGATTACCGACTGCTAATGCACAAGTTTGCTTGGAACTTAAATAAAGCTAACAGCACTCACGCAGTGTTCAGAACATGAATTGTGAATTTGCTGTCTAATCTCTGTAAGAGAGGAAGGTAGGAATTGAGGAAATCGGTGTTGTTCTGCAAATAAAGAGCGTGTTTTCGTTTTTTGAGATGCAACATCTCCGAAATCCGATGATTTAGAGGCAGATTTAGGTCACCTAATGTTAATTCATCAATAACGATATTTTTTTAACACTTCTAATGTGGGTAACGATCGGAGATATTTGTTCCTGACTACGTTAAGAAAGGAATTAGTTCTATTTAAGCGCCAAACAAACTTGTGCATTGTCAGTTAATAATCTTCACTAAGGAGGGTCGGACGACCTACAAGTATAGAGACGTTTGTACTTTCATTCATGGAGATTCGTCGACTTGGTAAGTCAAATCGTTTCTCAATCTCGCAAGCAATTGCTAGTGCTGGGTCTTTTTTATTGGCCTCTTCCAACGGAAGGATTGAATATCCCGAAAATAAATATGCTGATTTGACTGAAAAACAATTATTCACAGATGCTTACTTTCAACAGCAGCTCGTTTTTTAGGGATTACATTCGTCGACTGATCATTGGAATCCTCAGTTTTCGCTTTACGGCCGCGTCCAGAATGTTCTAAATAAAAATAATAATTGCAAACTTAGTATATCATCAATCTAAAGCCAGCGGCACACGAAAACAAGCATCGCGTGCCGCTGGCTTTAGATACAAATCCCTATAAAACAATCGACTTTTTCATAAATAAACTTTTAACATTTGAATACATGATTATAACGAAAACAATATGAGCATGCATCCATCTCTGACACAATTAAAGAACAAAGAAGTGCGGTTTAAATTATGTACTACGCAAGGTTGGGGTAATATTTTCAAAGAATGTAGAACAAGTACTGTGATATTTTATTAATAGAAAATTACTTATGTGTATAATATATACAAATTAGTTACTCAAAATTTTAGCTTTCTGTAAACGAATTAATGACAGCTGTTCCAAAAGAATTAATCTCTTTAATCCCTTTCCAGATAAATTCCAAGTTTCAACGGATTCCAGAGATGTTGTATAGTTTTCAAATATTTCTGATGAAGTCTGAGTTGCTTCGTCCACCATTAAATATGGAACTGATGAAAGTCTGTTTATCGTACCTTTAAAAATTTAATTATGATGTAAAATTGATCTTAAGTAAAGGAACAGCACACAATGTTCTATCTTCATATTTGTTTTACGGTATTGACATACTTAGAGCATATCCATCATGAAGCACAACCGATTGATAATCATTAAAATATCAGAAGGAAAATCCAAACAGTGGAAAAAGTCGATTGTTCGATAGGAAGATTTCATCGCTCACAATATCCAACAAACGGAATCTCAAGAAATTAGTAATAGATTCTACGAAGTCTATGTAATAAAAAATATTGTTTTAACGATACCGTTCTTTTCTGCAGTGCTTTCGGTTTCTTCTGAACTGGAGAAATCAGCAAAACGTTTTGGCTTAATCTTACGACCACTACGGCTGACAACCTCTTTAGGGGAATCTTCACCTTGTGAATCCAAGGCTTCTTGTTTCGACGTGTCAATTGAGGCTTTTCCTCTGCCACGTTTCTTCTTTACTTCCGGTGCATCCTGTTACATGGTGTTACAATATTTTTCGATATAAAAATTCTATTTTGATAATTGTGTTTAGGTACACCTGTTACATATATATACAAAGTTGTGAGGAACAATCGCACAAACCTTCTAATCTTTAGAAATGTTTGTCGGCAATTCCTAAATTTTTGTTGGAGTATATTTGTCAATGACTGTTTTATTACTACAGTATTGCACAGCATGCATATTGAACACTCCATTTTATATTATTGTTATATATATATATATAATATTATATTCTTACATATTATTGTACAAAACGCGGAAAAAGAAATATGGCTTACAGGAGTGTTGGAGGCAGAGGTGAGTGGTTTTCTTTTCAGAGGTTTCTTCTTATCTCCTTCATCTATTATCAAAGAACCAGTATCCATATCACTATCAGTAGCACTAACAGTTGGTAATTCAGCTGTATCAGTATTTTTGGGTAAAGTATCATCTAAAACAATAGATTTAATAATCACTAAAGTATTATCAAGAAAACCAAAAGTAGCAAAAGAAGACAAATGCTAACTAAAAGTTATTGTTCATGCGTGATCAAGTTTGACTCTTGTTTGTTAGTTATTCTTTTAGGTTTAATAATTATTTCACAAAATACATTTTATCATCGTATAGAATATATTATTATTAAGATAATATAAATAATTACCTTTAATATTACTGATATTTGTTGTGGATTTACTCCTATCATTTTTAAGTTCTTGTTCAAGTTGTTGAATACCTTCAAGAAAGAACTTTCGTCGACTAGGCTTACAAAATTTCGCTTTGTGTTCAGAATAGGTGTATAATTCTTCTACTTTACAAACGGCTCTGAAATTTAATACATAGAAATAAAAAGTTATCTTCAATTATATTATATACTTTTACATGTGGTAATATATAGGAAATAATACTGCATTAAGTTATCATAATTAAATTTCAAAAGAGATCCAATATTACTTACGTTTCTCCTGTACCGTAAAAGTAAACGCTATATTTTGCATTCTTCGAGTTTGCATCACTAACTTTCTCAACCTACAAACAGGTAAATAATAAACATATTACTAACTTATAAGACATAACCTCACCAAGGTCAAGATATTGATCTTATTTACTATTTATTTATTACCATCTAACCTAAATTTTGGACTAAGTTTAGTTTGGTGATGAGAACAAGCAATATGAGGACAAACAATGTCAAATCGAACTGATAATTCCTAGACTTTTTCTCTTCAAACAATACATATGTCTAAAAGATGACTCAAAGACGTCTTATTACGTCTTAGATGTCTTATTGTATAAAAGATATCTTTATGACGTCTTATGATGTCTTAATGCTATCTAGGTCTTAACCAATACATAGAAATTCTAGAAGTTATTTTGCAACAATATCGCATAGTTTATGTTTAATATTAAATATTTAACTTAATTATTAAATTTAAATATTTCAGTATTTAACTAATTACAATGCATTTATAGTAACACATATTTAATTTGAGTGTATTATTAACACATTCCATGCTGGACCAATTTTATATGACTTGTTAATGCCATATAGATTATCAGTGATCCATATATTTATTTTGAGCCATGTTTTATTTATCAAATAAATACCTTATAATTATTTATCAAATGACATACGTCTCAAAATCATTACGAGAATATTTCACAATTGCCTTATTTTAGAGCCAAAATATCAAACGATTGAAAATGGATCTCCAATCCACAACAGAAAGTTCAACGTGGCTACTCACAATCTATGCGGTATGGAACGTGTTTATAAATAATGAAAAATTCATTTATAGAATCATTTAAATTGAAATACAATGTCGAGGTAGATTCGAAATTTAACCTCTAATATACAAAAAATTAACATATCAACATCATTGTCATTATTTGCCATTATATTATCATGATATTGTCGTTATATGGTCATTATACGCCATCATCGCCAAAATCAAGGTAATTTAGTCCAAAATTACAAATGTTAGGCATCATCGACATAATCAATATCAAAGCCATACATTTGTCCACATTACGTGCATTATATGCGCCGTACCAAGAAATCCATTAAAACAGAATAATAGGCAATTTAGAGAAAAAAAAAAAATGTAAATAAGTACAGCTCTGAGCATTGCATCAATACGATCGTTCGATGAAATATGGTTAACAAATTACTACTGATCGTATTTCAAAACCTACACAAGCTAAAATGTACGCGGACAAAGCGTGTGCTTACGAAACACTATCGCCGACAACAAATATGATCGGAAAAAACAAGAAAGCAAGAGAGACGCAGTTTGTGAATATTTCATACCGTTAAGCAGGCACACGTGAAAACGACACAATACTCCGTTTGACAATATTAGATATAATATCGGCGATCAGGACGTTTACATAGTTTACAACAACGAGGCTGCGAAAATTGGTAGTCAAAAACTTACTTTAGCAGGCCACGGCGGGTAACCTCGAACTTTGGCGAACACCTTGTCGCCGGTTAAGAACTTCTTCATTAGCTTCATGATAATCACGAACGATCCGCAAGCAGCAATAATAATCTACTCGCTCTTGTCACCCCTCCGATGAGCCGTCTGTCGTGATTGCAGGTTACGCCGTAATTAACTGCGGGGACGCATCACACAAAACACTTAACCGACCACCATTTGCACGACGACATTTGCGCGGCGATGCCAAAAACACGCACGATACGACGCGGGTCTCCGATTGGCCACACCATCAGCGAAGAGAGAGCAGCCCGCGCAAAATCGGCGATGCGATTGATCGGTGGGGTCAACCGAGCGAGCGTTGATTGGCTACGTCTGTGCACGCATCGAACAAACGAAGCCGTAAAATGCCGTGGCCGCGATCGCAGCGACACTCTCTACGCCTCAAGCCTGGCTGGTTTAGATCGTTCTGCGAACACGCGTGAAGTAAAAGAGAATTTTTTAAAAATGAAAATATCAAACGCCGCGAAATATATTTTATTCGTGCCTTTTTATCGTGTATCCGTATCAATAGAGATATTCGATTCTCTTTGATGTAATCAGTAATGTAAAAAGCATCCGACCACCCGCAAAAATAATATATGGCAGGGCGCTTATTTGCTTTTTCCAGATGAAAGAGGAACGAACAAAGATTATTGTTCGAATCTATTCACTGGAAGTAAAGAAATATATAAGAATATATGTATAAAATGATATTAATGATCGATTCAGCACACTTGTAAAAATGTCCGGGCGCTTACCTTTAACCTGAACAAATAATAAATATAAAATTGACACAACAAATGAGGAAAGATAGGTTAAAAACGTAAGTTGCACGTCACACTAATTTTCAGCAGATTTATCGATTGTTGAGGTTGAAGGAAAGCGTTCGGTCATTTTTACAGGTGTGCTGAATCGATCACGAGTATCATTTTGTGCGTATATTCTTTTATCTCTACGTATACCGCAATATATTTTGACATACGATCTCTCGCTTCTGACGTCATCAAACAAGGACAGCCCTGGCGAGGACACAGAAGCCTAAAACGCGACGAGATTATATTTTAGATGCGCCAAAAAAATATCATGCGTTCAATACGGATTGTCGTATTATTATACTACTCGTATTATTATACTCTGTGTATATTAAACGTGCGAGATTATTCGATTTCTTAGCACGTATGTTATATATATATATACGCATCCACGCGAAATTATTTCGATGGAATTTACAACATAAAAAAGTTGAGCCTTAATACGGTAGCGCTGGACTCTCATGCAAATCGTTCCTAAACGTAGCGTACGAAACCGCGGCTTTACGATAAGAAGCGACGAAGCGACTTTTCAGTGGGTTTGTGGACGCACGATTAGAATGCGACTCAATGGATACGGCTTGACTGTCAAGTGTACGAATATTCAGGCAAACACTTGCTACGAATGCGCTCGGCAGCGTTTTGAGGGAACGTGCGATGTTGTGTCCGACGACGAGGGCCTGGACATCACGCGTAGACCGTATCGAACTTCCACGAAGGGCGCCGGGCAGAATGTGAGTTCGTAGATACCTCACGACGTTCATCCGTAATGCATTATGCGTTCTCATCCGTGTCTTCTTTTTCATTTTCGAAACACCGATTTTCCGTGGCGCGCGTGTAACACACGCAGCACGACGCACGGCGGGCTTTTTTTCCGGCCGCCCGCCTAAATTCACCACGTACCCACGTTAATCCACCCCAGTGGTCGTTTCCCGGCCGTTCGATATTTTATATCCACCTCTCTTTCGTACGTGCCAAGAGCTCTCCGATTAATCAGTCATATCGTTGATGAGATTTTGCAACATTTGCCTCCGGATTCTCGTGTTACTCTTGTATATTGTAAGAGAAATTAAATTTCGGGACATGCGTGCGAGAAAAATTATACTGCACAATTGTGGGAATTGTACCTTCAAAACTAGTGATTTTGCAAAAAAAATTATACAGCGATTGTGTATATGCAATTATAAAAGTTACTACGCTTACTAAACTACTAAACTACTTGCTTATAAAAGTTACTATACTTACTAAACGATTTTGCATGACACAATGAATGCGTGAATTATCAAGTGATGTTGATGAATATTTCATTTGAAATATAATGAGTATAGTTTTTGTATAATGATATGATATGAAAATTACATAATATTGCAGCATTCAGAATTATATAAAAATCTGAAAATTTCTGACATCTATTAGGTTGGTGCATATGAAATGTCGGATTCTTAAGTGATTGTATAAAACTGTATATCTTTCTTCAAAAGCTGTTTATTCAATCAAAGTATGCTCCATTCGCTTCAATACACTTCTCCCAACGAGATTTTAAAGCGTAGATGCCTGTCTTAAAAAAATTTTGGTCTTTAGAATTAATAAACTCTGATATCGAGTTTTTTAGACTGTCTTCATTTTCATGGTGTTTGCCTCTTAAAAACAGCTCTAAATGCTTGAAAAAATGAAAATCGGTCGGCGAGAGATCCGGTGAATATGGTGGATGCTGCAAAACTTCATATTCCAGTTCGTTCAGTTTCGCAATTGTTTTGTGCGATGTGTGCGGCCGAGCGTTGTCATGGAGCAGTAGCGGGCCATGCCGATTCACAAGCGATGGGAGTACAATTTGGTGTCTCAATATCGTTGTATGGTCAACTTTCATCCTGATAGCAAGTTCCCTCGTGGATACGGCTGGATCCGCTTCCACTAGAGCCTTCAGGTCATCATTATTCACAGACGTTTTGGGTCTTCCGCGCGGCTCATTTTGCAGTGAAAAATCGCCAGTCCGAAATTTTTCGAACCAACGCTGCACTTTCCGATTGTTAACCGTATTCTCCCCAAACGCTTGGTTTATGTTGCGTGCAGCTTTTGCAGCACTATTACCAAGTTTGTACTCATATAAGAAAATGACGCGAATGTCGGCAGAATTCATATCGGTAATAAACTCAAAAGAAATAAAAAAGGGAAGACCTTCGAGAAAACCTATTTTGTTGAAATGAGTCTCTGGCAATGGACAATACGAGTATGAATGAGGTTATGCCAAATACAAAAGTATAACGAAAACAGGGAGGAAAACGTCCGCATGTAAAGAGAATGCGACATTTCATACGCACCAACCTAATATATATTCATATTATACATATATATGTGTATATGTAACTCTTATATTGTTGCAACTGAAAGTATACTTGAATAAAAAACAAAGCAATGATTTTTATTTAATCTCATTAATTATTCATGAAATTATTATTTTTTGCATTATATATAACAAACAGATGAACTCAGAGTCTCTATGGCAGCGTTGTATATTACTATGATGAAAGATGCCAATTCTTAAGGAGCAGTGTTTCTGTTGAAGTGGTTCTGGCTCAAGAGGCCTCCTAAAGCACAATGAGGGCCATTGTATCATTCATACTGATCACACTGCTATGTGGCATAAGCATAGCCTCTGTCAATACCGTTGTATGTGCCAGTAGAAAGAAGAATGTTGAAAATTTATCCTTGAAACAGAACTCAGCAGCTGTACCTGAAGATATATCCATTGATCATAATGTAGGTCACATAATAGTACATCCTTACAAACTAAATTTATATTTCTTATTAATTTTGCAGTATTTTTTTCTAAAATTATGCAAGATTCAATGTTCAATGCACACAAAATAGTTCAGTCTTTATTATGAATAATATTGATACTCATGTTACTACATGCATTAAAATTAAACAGTCAAGTAAAAGAAATAATAAAAAAATATATATTTATATATATAACTTACAGGTATATGAAGATATCGGATTTGAGATATGTAATAATTTCTGTCATGCCTTATGGCAAGAAGATAAAACTGTAAATGGCACTGAAATTACAATATTGTCTCAAGGTACATGTCATAAAATTAGGCTTATCATAAATATTCATATTAATATTATCAGAATAAAATAATATGTTATTGTCTTGCATATTGACTAGGTTGTTGGAAACAGTCTGGTGAACAGAAATGTCAAAATACAGAATGCGTTGCACTTCAGAGATCCACAAAAGCTTTGAACAATACGAAATTTTGTTGCTGTCATGGGAATTATTGTAATCTTAACATTACCAGTTCCAATCTTGACTATCCAGACAAAATATTCAGTCCTCCTTCGCAAAAGTATCGACCAAGTAAGATTAATAGTAATATTAAAAGCTAGAATATATATACATATGTGTGTGTAATAATATAAAAATCAATGATATTATAAACTATATTACGATAATTTCTCAGCTACAGAATATCTGGAACAGTCAAACTCCGAACAACGGGTGTTAATTATAGCGAGCGTTATTATATGTCCACTACTAGTGATATTTGTTATAGTCATAGTTCTATACAAAATATATCGCAGCAAAATTTTAGCAAGTTTAGGAAAGCCGTTATCTTATAATGATCAGTTTATGGACAGTACAGCGTTAAGAACTGGTACTTATACAGTCGATCACTTGAAACTTGCGACTATCGTAGGTATGTTCTCATTAATTATATTTTATGAGAGATTAATTTTGTATATAATGTTACAGTTGATAAATATATTGTTCTATGAATTATAATCACATGATAATGTTACAGGTCAAGGAAGATATGGCTCAGTTTGGCAGGGCAGTATGGGAGACCAAGATGTCGCAGTTAAAATATATCCCTCGCATTATCGTAATTATTTTCAAAATGAAAGAGATACTTACTGCTTGCCTTTTATGGAGCATCCATCATTGTTAAGCTATTATGGTTAGTGTTTCATATATTTTATATATAAAATATATAAAATTATTTCTACAACGTACGTTGCGTCAGAAATTTAATTTATATCCCAAATTTAGGTGTGGATGAGAGAATAAGCATGGAATGCAGCGTTGAATACCTTCTGGTATTGAGTTTCGCTCCAGGTGGTACTTTAACAGATTTCTTACGAACACACACCATTGACTGGAGCACATTCTGTAAAATGAGTCTTTCCATAGTTAAGGGACTTGCTTACTTGCACACAGATATACGCAAAGGCGGTATGGCATTAATAATTTAATTTGATCGTATTTTAATTTAATTTAATTTAATTTGATGCAATAATTTAATTTGATCGTATTTTTGGTACATTGTGTTTTGTTTATTAAATTGTAAATATATGCTTAATTGTGAATTAAAACGTAATATAATTGAGGATAATAATCTCTTTAATAGACTCTTATAAATATTGATTTCTAGATAAGTTTAAGCCGTGCATCGCACATAGAGATATAAATTCAAGGAATATATTAATCAAAGCTGATGGTACTTGCTGTATTTGCGATTTGGGATTAGCAGTTCAGATTTCTGGCTCGAAATATTATTCTAACGGAGAGGAGCAGCATGCTGAACTAAAATCAATCAATGACGTGAGTATCTGAAGTTATCTCGAGATTTTACATTCTACATTCATTCGATTCTCCATCGAAATCTGTCACACTCTATAGGTGGGCACTCTGCGATACATGGCGCCAGAAGTGTTGGAAGGCGCTGTTAATTTGCGCGATTGTGAAAGTTCTTTGAAACAAATAGACGTTTATGCAATGGGATTGGTCCTCTGGGAATTGGTCACGAGATGTTCTGACATTTATATTCCTGGATCGGAAGTACCACAATATAAACAGCCGTACGAGAATGAAATAGGTGCGTATGCAAAGTACATTTCTCGAAATTATAATGGCTTGTCCATTGATGCTTTGTGATGCTCTTATTACATTTTATATTATCCTATGTACACATAAAATATCTTTTTTTTTTTTTTATTTCTCAGGACTTCATCCGACGTTCGAACAGATGCAGGTCTTGGTATCGCGCAACAAAGCTAGACCTCTCTTAGAGGGTAATTTAGTAGATAGACCAGGAGTGCGTTTGATCAGAGAGACTATGGAAGATTGCTGGGATGCCGATGCCGAAGCGCGTTTAACCGCTTTATGTATAGAGGAACGTCTTTCAGAATTACAGTCTCATCGTGGTAACGCATCTATTGATACATCTTGATCTTTTTACATTACTCTTTGAAAGTTTGTATAAATTACCTCATTACCAACATTGAAAAAAATAACTATAGTTACTTTCACACAATTGTGATCGCTATCATTATTCAAGAAGTAATTTACAGTCTTATTACTTCTCATTTTGTTAGAGTACAATTGAACTACCCAAGAGAGTAGTAGCTTTCTTTAAATTAACAATTAATTATCCTTACGGAAGAAATATATATATTATTGCGTTATCGTTACTAACGACGATAATTAACACCTTTACACAATTGTTCCCGAAAGAAAGTAATTTGAACGGAGTATTGCAAGTACTTCCCAACCTTGACTGCCAGTGAAAGGATTTTGTGTCTTTTAAAACAAAAAAGCTTGTTTTGTTTTGCAGTGACAATGCACTTTATCGATGGAAGTCCGATGGTTAATTCCCATTGCACCTTAGTGCCTTCAACGACGAACAGTCTTTATAGCGAATCGTCGCATCACGACAATGTACATGTTGTACAACTCGCATTGAATATGATACAAGATGGTAACGCTAATGAAAATGCGATAGCTGAAAACTTGGTTACATTATCGCCGTCTGACAGTGTCGTTCATGAACACAGTTGTGAGTACGCGATACAAGTGAAAATTACGTTAGTTTTACGACGACTCTACGATCCCTTCGAGTGCTCTTAACCTGTTTGCATTTTAGTCAAAAATTCCAACGAGATAGCAACGTATAATCACACTCAGACGCTGCAGCCGTATCAGGGCAGGAATCCGTGTATGGAGAGAAACTTGATGTTGCAATCGGATTCCTTGGAGGATCTAAGCTGCAACGGTAACGTTCTCGTTGACAAATCGCTGAAGCACGCGTGCAACGATCAGTATAGGACCGCCACGGAGGCGCAAGGTCTGGTCTCGCATGATTACTTAAGTCAGCACACAACGCAATTAACGCAGCTCAGGCCGGCGACGCCTATACCGTACGTGCAGAACGTCATCTCCGACGAAGGGACACCTTCGTACGGCAAACGAAAGCAGACGAACATACAGGACTCGTCGCTTCAAGAGAGCCCGCGGAAGAAATTGTTCGCCTGGCCCAACTTGAAGAAGTTGCTCATCAACAAGAAGATGTATCCGTACAGCAGATACCAAATAGACCGGGAGGACTCCAAATCGAATCTGTTAACGAAGCAAAACATCCAGATTAAAACCGTCGAAACGAACGTGACGATCTCGCCGGGAGGCAAGTACGTGAACGGTATCATCGGCAAGACCTCCACCTCGGCCGTGCCAGTGGAGAAGAACGACAAGAATGCCGCGCAGACGGGCAAACAGAAGCAATACGAGAACGACAACGCGACATCGAACGTGCGTCCCTCCACCTTGCCGCTCGTGAGCTTGAGAAATAAAAAGCGAGAGAACAATCTCAGCAGGCAGCAGAGCATCGACAAGTTCAACGAGGTATTCAACGTTGGCTCGAACGTGAACAACGTGCTGAAGGATCCGCATATGAGAATAAAAACGCCTGGCGATCTGCCGCCGTCAGTCAGGAAGATACGCGGTCGTGCACAGTCAACGGCGAGATTTTCTCTGTATGACGATCGTATGATGTGCAATATCCTTAATGAGGAGGACGATCGTAACGACAAGGCCATTTGGAATTCTGTGCCATTCGGTATGGATTTCGGTGATAACGACGGGAAGCATTCACCAACGAAACTCGGTACCAAAAATGTTACGTGCTTTTAATCAGATATAATACTATAACGTGTTTGTAAAGTCCTTTATGTCTGTATAATTTAGTCAGGAGGAGAGAAAAACCGGCTGTAGAATATCTTCAGCTTAAATTTTTTATGTACAGAACACTTGTGTATAAGAATAAGTAAGGATTTTGTACTCAATGCAAATATACATTATTGCCACACTACGGATGAGATAACAATGAAATAGAGAAGAAAAAACAGAGATAAAACGGAGTATACTAAAAAAAAAGAGAGGGTGAGAAAACGGTCGATATTCTGAGGATAAACTGTACGGGACATGTAATAACTCATGATACACGATTGATTTGTCAGGTTATATTTAATAACATTTGTGCATCACGAATGCTTTTGATAAAGTAAACGATTGAGTATGATTAGCGCACGTAACGATTTTAGATAGAAAATAGAAAATCAAATCTCGACTTTCAATCCATACGCACTGGACCGCAAGAGATGGATTCATTCATCGTTACTCTACTTTTTCATCTCATCTATGTGTTACATGTGAATCGTCTTCTTTGTAGTCGATGTTTCTTTCAATTTGATATCTATAGCGTTTAGTGGATTCAGTATAATTGACAAACATGGACAATCAATGTTAACATTTACACCACGTCGTGAAAATACTGTTAACAATCTCGATGTGTATATTCGTCTTTTACTTTCTTCACAGCATTTAAAAAACATAATCTCTATATGTAATGTAAAACAACAAATCTCTCTTAATGTTAAAATTTATAGAATATTCTCAATTTGATATTATTAGCTCAAAGAACTGTACAAGCTGGCGACGAACTATACATTCAATCTTTTTATTATTAATTTTATACATTCTCAAATTTTACTCTTCCTGTATATATTTACTTCTTATGTGAAGTATAATTTAAGTTTTTAAACGAATTTTGCAACATTTTTGTTTATCAATATGCAACGATATTTATCAGATATACGACTCTATAATTAATACAAAGCCATTATTAATATAGACGCGATTGTAATTATAAGATAGAGATAGTAAAAAGTTATATTTGAGCACAAAGTATAATTGTATCGAGTTATATGAAAATGATTTTTCCTGACCCTGCGAGCTCAGTGTAAATATATGTGTACTGTAAAAAGAACTTATTCAAATGCGTTAAACATGCTTGTTATGTTATGTTGGAAGTATCGTAAGTTCTTATGTTATACAGTTTGCGATACTTTATCGTGCAACATGTTATAGATAAAATTAAGATAAATATGATCATGCAACTTATAATAAAATTTGTTTTCCGTCGAAACTTTTCGTCCCTTTATTTAAAGTTAAGTAATTAAATATTATAGAAAAGGACTTGCGTAATGAATTGAAATTCTCCTGGCCGTATTTTTTATTTTTATAGGAACCAAGAACGTTTGTAAAATGTTATAAATTTTCTATATTTATTTCATTCGTTTCTTAGGATATTTTTTTCCATTTTGTGTGATATTGTACGCTTCTTTCTTTGGTTACAAAATATATGAAGACGAACTTAGAAATATTTTAAATATGAGTAGTGTACGAAACTACTTTTTTCAGTTTCAATTGAACTGAAAAACGAATATTCAATTCTTTTGCAAGTTTGGCCGAAACCGGAACTTTAGCGGGAGTTTTATAAACGTTAAAAGGAAAAATGAAAAATGAATTTTATGATGAAAATATACATTTATAATGATACTTGATTAAATTATGTATGTGTACATGTTGCATGTCGTGTGTGTATATAATATTTTATTAAATTTTATTAATCCTCCAAATGTGGCAACGTATTTTCACTATCTTCGGAATAGCAACCAGAGTCATTTGTATCTTTCATAGTTTTTTCTTCTCTTGAACTGCTCGAAAAAAATCTCCAAAAAAATAAGGCCGCGGTCCAACTCATGCTTACACAGTATTTCCCGGTGAAAAAGTGACTGGTGTCGAATGAAACACAAGGCGTTATTTATGTTTTGTTTTTATTATTGATTATTCATAATAGTCCCGTTGTGAGTCGATACACCGCTGGAACGATCGTAAAACTTTTTAAAGCATTCCTTAAAGTCCTCTGTCGGAATCGCCTTTAGAAACTCCGTCGAAATCTTATCGTTTAATGTCATCGGTTTATACAATTATACGGCGGCGATAAATGTTAATACATACATATAGTTATGTGTAACGCCTATTCTTGAATATAAAATGTTTTTAAAAAATGGCTTTCTTTCATAATTTTTGATAAGCGACGTGCAATTATAGAAGCTTGTTGATAATATTATTGCTTACAGGGTTTGTCCAGAAAGTAATGTCAGTGATTTTTTTTTGACGCGACTGACCGTCAGAGCGCGCTCGGATCAGTTAGGAATAGTAGAGGGGGAAGTCATCTAACGAATGTTGAGTCATTCAATCTTCTTCCGCCAGCCGCATAGTAAGGACATGTATTTCCGTGGAAGTCGTTTTGTGACCTCGTGCAAGTAAAAATGCAGTGCTCGTTAGAACAAAGGATGGCGATCAAGTTTTGCGTTAAACTTGGCAAGACCGCGGCGGAAACTCTCCAATAATCAAGACAGCTTTTAAAGTAGATCTGTCGGATCGGCAAGTGTTCCAGTGGCACAAGGTTTTTTTGGAAGGTCGGGAAGAGGTCGACGACGAAGCCCGCGCCGGACGGCCATCGACGAGCACCACGGACGACAATGTGACGCGAGTGAAAGAACTTTTGAACACGGACCGACGATTGAATGTCCGTTTACTGTCAGTTATTTTTTACTAAACATAAACCAAGGAATCGCCTCCTTGAGTATAGCTGGGTACTTAACCCATGGAACTCTCTGTATATTCTGATTTTAATATTCTATTAATTGTCAGTTGCACGCAAAACTGTACGTTAAACCCTGAAACTATGCACACATGTACTCAGTTAGCATACTCTTGTCATTTTGACATCGGAATTTGGCATCAGAAAATGACTAAAAATTATCAATGTAGTGACGTGCAGATGATGGACTAATGACATAGACCGATGATATCTCAAGTTAAAAAGATATGACTTTATGACCTTTTGGCAATTGTGCTTTTTTGATATTATAAAAGACTTTTGGCTATTTCTTCTACGTTGAGAATTAAAAAAAGACTTGTTAAGAGACCATCTATTATGAATAGAGAAAGGAATTGTCATTTCATATCCCGTAATAATTTCGATTTCGATCGGTGGCCGGTTCATTCATTCACCTCTTGACCGCAGTTGTTGCCCGACTTTGACTGCGTTTCGATATTCACTGTCAGTACTGAAAATCTATAGTATATGTAACCATAAATTATAGATTTTTAGTACTGGCAGTGAATTTTGAAATATACCTTTCCGATGGCTAGCATTGATTCCAATGATCCAATGATATTCTCGTAATTTAGACTTATAAAATGTGTTTTTATATTATTTACAATTACATTGTAACGACATATTTATTGACAGACATTAAAAATAACGCAACAACAATTAATATGCTACGAATATTGATATATCTCTTTCACGTCTAACTTTTTTTGAGAATTAGAACATATCTTGTCAAATTATTTTTAAAAGTTGTTGAGGTCGCTAAATATAATACTATCAAAATATAAAATAGAAAATATTAAAATATAAAAAATTCAAAATAATATATGTAAAAAATGAAATATTAACACATTTTTGCATAATTTGCTTATTTAGTTACATAAACTGATATTTTTTTCTATATAATAAAGTAACCAGCTAAAAATAACGCAAGTCTATATTCTAATATTTCGTAAATATTGCAGTAATATTGTAGTGTTATATATTATATTGTAATATTTATACGATATCGCAGTAATACAGTTACAAAGTGATAAATCCCATGATAATATTTGTAAAATATTATAATAATATTTCAAAATTATGTCACACTGCAATATAATGTAAATATTACAGATATTATATTGCAATATATCATATTTTAATATCTCAATAATATTACTTTATACAGCACAGACTTCCAATGGATGTCCTAAAGATATCCAGAGAACGTTCTTATATCTTAAGGACGCTCATCGAATAATGTGTATAGTATAGGACTACAATATTACATTATAATAAAAATCACGATATAATGTACAAATTCCTTAAGACATCACAAAAGACATTTTAAATTAGATATTATTTGATCAAAAGATGTGAAATCTATATATTGGATCTATCTGTTGGATCAATAATCACCAATTTTCAACGTCAAAATGACAAATGTGCTAGTTTTGGGTATATTTTTCTGTTGCATATTCTAATGCTGGAAGTATAGTGAGTTATATACGACTTAACATAAAAACGAGAAATGTAGATATAGAAATGTCTTTTTATATTAACTTAATTATAACTGTATACATGTTTACATAAAAACATCTGTTTTAAGTCGTACAAGTGGTCAAAAATCTATTTACATAAAAATATCAATATTTATTTAGGAGCTTTATCAAATATTGTATATTCTAGTGCCCATTCACATGTACATGCGCATTTGTATCATTCAGTGTTTTTTTTTTCGTAAATTATCAATCTATATCCGATGAATTTTTGTCATAGTACCTCTGACTTTATGTAACACTTCTGTCATTTGTTCATACTTACCTGTTGAATCGGGCAAATTTTCAAAGTTTAGAACGTCGCAAATGTTTTTAGAAAACTTTTCTGATGACGGTAATTTGTTGTATGGAGAGGTACTTTGTAATATTGGTGTACCTAAATCTACCGACTTGGTCGAACTTTGATTCAGATTTAAAGATTTTCGTAGAATGGGAGAGCGATTGAGCTGAATATTGTCTTCTGATGTAATCGTAGTATTCAAATTATTTTTAAATGATGCATCTGGATTAGACTGCGAACTGGTTTCTTCAAGTTCAACAAGTAATTGTTTTTTCATGCTTTCTAATTCGGATAGAGATGGTGAATTTGCTCTGGATAAAGTAGTGTCATCCTAAAGAATGCAATATATATAATGCAATATATATAACCATAAATTAAAATGCATAAAATGAATATTAAGAATTTTCTCATGACATACCGCTGAATCATAAGAAAACAACTCTTGAGATCGTAAATCCGAATCTTCTGTTACAACATCTATTTGTGATGGTAGTGGTGGTGGTGGTGGTGGCGGAGGTAGTGGAAGTGGCGGTGATGATGGCGGCGGTGGCGGCGGAGGTAACAACAATTGCTTTGGTAATGGTGGTATGAAATCTTCTTCATTAAAAGAGACATTTTCGATAGTAGCTTCTATTTAAATAAAATAAAAAATCGTCTTCTATATTTTAATAACATAAGAAAGAAGGTATAAAAATGTATATGTGTGTTAATAACGTGATACAGTTGATGTAAAAATAATTATTACTATTTTCTCTTGTTACTTTCATGATTGTTTCTAATAAAGTAAAATTATAGTAGAAATAATATAACTTCATATATTATTATTTCTAATAATTATATTTACCTTCAATATCTTCTATGTCCATTTCACAAGGTATTCTTTCCGAAACATTTTCTGGTGTTGATAGTTTCAACTTTTTACGTTTATAACCATCATCTGTTTCTTTACCTTGCAGATGTAATAACATTGTTTCTTTACTATGTGTATAATGCATTTGTGGTGCATAAAATTTATGACTATCCTGCAATTTATATATAAAAAAATATGTTATAAATTATGAGATATAATTATTTTCATAATATAAGTATCACATATGTAACATTAATATTATTTACGTCGATAGTTCCAGAAGGAGGCGGTACATTAAAACCAGGGAAATCATATATTTTTTTTACATCATATTGATCTCTATCTATATTCATTGTAATTTCTCGTGATCCGTTTTTTGTATCGGTTTCTGCCTCTCCATCAGAATTAAATAGTGATAATCCAGAAGGTTGTAAACATACTTCTTCTAACCATCCTGGAGGGTAGCCAAGTAATCTCATTCTAAAGAAAAATATTTTGGACATAGGGAGAATAAAACCTTGTTTACCCTTTGACCCATTAGATTAAAAATTAAATCCCCCTTCTTTTGTTATCTAATACTTATTACTTAGAATGCAAATATTTTTATAATAATAAGTAACAGGCTGGTTTTGTTATCATATAAATATGTTATAAATAGAAAGCAATATAAATCAGTTGTAAGTGGATGAACATTTACCTTTAGAGGAACACTTCAGAACAACTCTGACTTTGATATATATTGTCAAAATCATATTCCTAGGCAACCTCCACTATAAAAAAAATCGGCGGCAATTATTTAAACAATTATTAAAAGTTATTAACAAAGTAATGATACACATAAATATATAAAGAAATCAAAATTTATTCATTTATTTATTTATTAGTTATAAACAACCTTAACAATTTAATGTTATGAACAAAGTAATAATATGCACAGAAATATAAAAAATCAATATTTATTGTTCATTTTCATTAAATTCTTATATAGGATATACTTGAGCCATTAAAGAAATTTTCAATGAATTGAATAGTACAAATCTTTGAAAAAGAATTCAGCTTTTTTTACATACATACATTCGAGATATTTTTGCTCGTGAAATTTA